TTAAATCATCCTGAAATTGCCGGTTCGCAAAGTGCTTTAAATCCTCGCTGCGATCCCTAACGCAGAAACAACCCTCAAACGCACCAGCAAACCTAATCCCTGACTCTGTCACCGTGATTTATAACAGCCCCTTTCCAAGGCACACACAAAAACACCCAGATGCAAACAATTACTCTATTTTTGTAGGCAACAAGTGAGGTGGGTGGCAGCTGAGAAATTTGGAGAAACCCTGTCACAATATTCCGTTTTTCCCTCCAGCAAAGCCTCAGCGCACACAACAAACAAGGGGCCGCCACATCAGAGGCTCTGCAGGGCCTGAAGGGCCGCTTTGATTCCGGCCCCGCAGGCATCAGCGGGGACGTAATGAGGGTAAAAAGTTCACCCACAGCTCCAAGTCTACAGCCCTGCCAGAAAGACATTTCCTCTCCCCTTCCCTGGTTCCTACTGTACCCTCCCCGAGAGGCTGATTGGAAACACGTTGATCTTGGTGGAGTTTGTGCCTCTCCTAATTAACTTTACGGCGTTTACGGTGTTCAGTAATTTGGAGGGGAGTTCCAGGCAGCCCTGGGAGGAGCAGCAGCTCCTGGAATGGTGCTGTGAGTTATCTTTGCCCCGTGGTGCTGCTTTCTGATTTCAGGGAATTCCTGGGGGAAGGTTTGAGCTCCAGCTGGTTGGGTCTGGACGGGCATTTCCCCTCCTCGCCGTCCCCTCTCGGATCATCGCGCGCACCAGGGGGCTGGAACAGCGAGGAAATGGAACTGTGCCTCAGCTCAGACAGCTCCTCACCATCCCAAGGATCGCTTGGAAAGGGGTTATCTTTTTACAGCTCGATAAATCAAAGCCTGAGAAGGTCAAAACCACCCATAGTTCTCACCAACTGGTCAAAGTTTGACCCCAAATACTCATTTTCTTCCAGTTTTGATCCAAGATTAGCAGTTTATTATAGTTCAAAGGTTATTTCTTCCTCTAGTTCACTCAGGCAAACATTTGGTGTAGCAGAGGAACACCAGAACTTTCCTACCCTGGGTATTTACACATGCAAACACCACCTTATTCCTTTCAAGCTGCATCTCCTGGCACTTGGAACTGTGAGAAAACTCACAGAATTACCAGTAAACATCACTTCAACATCACAATACCAGCTGAAGTTTATTATAATTACAGAAACAACTTCCGAGAAAAAAAAAAAAAATCCTGGGATCTGAAGAGCTCTTTTTCAGATGAAGAACATTCCCTCTATAGCACACAGCAATCCCATCCAGCATCACTACAAGTAAATTAAACTACTTTACTCAGGGGTTGCACCTCTCGGGATCTTCAAAGCTACCACACAACCTGCTTAGGAGCTGAGTTTTCCTACAAGGATGACGTTTCTCACGTGCTGGAAGGGAAGGAAACCTTTGCAAGGCAGCTGACACGACCACTCCCTGCAGTCCAGGATTCCTTAGGGTTTTCCAGCAGCACAAGAGCCTTTGGGACTCAATCCCCCGAAGGTGACAGAGCTGAGGGAGCTTTGCCCAGCTTTAAAAGGTTCTACTGTAGTTTTTTCAGACCAAACCCAATCAAGTTTGCTCCCTAGAATAATTTTCAACTCACATTGCTGAGCTGCAGTTGGGTTAAGGTTAGCAGGATTTAATCTGCAGTAGCCACGTGAATAAAACACGCTTCCTGAAAATCTGCTGCCAATTGATTTGCCTTGTAAACAGATCAGCAGGGGAAAAAAAAAAATGCTGGCTAGCCAAAGTTATACATTTTGTTTGCTCCAGCTACTCCTCCTTCTTTAATTTACCCTAATTTCCTCTCTCCTCCCATGATTAAAAAAGATTACCTCTTGCTTCTCATGCCCTTAAGTGACCTCCATCCAATTCTTCAAGCCATCCAAAATTTTCCATCACTTGACACCATTAAATTAATGCTTCTTTCTAAAAATACATGCTGGAAAGCCAAGAGGCTGCACCCTGGACTCCTGACTGAGCTCCACAAGGTCTGCTGGCCCCAAACTCTGGCTTTTTAATCTTCTGCCACTCATTGCTCAACCAGCTACACCTGCATCCTCACCTGATCAAAGCCCTGGCACAGGATGCCCAGAGAAGCTGGGGCTGCCCCTGCACCCCTGGAAGTGTCCAAGGCCAGCCTGGGCAGGGTTTGGAGCATCCTGGGCTATGGGAGGTGTCCCTGCCCAGGGCAGGGGCTTGGAATTACAAGACCTTTAAGGTCCCCTCCAAGCCAAACCAGTCTGGGGTTCTGTGATTCCATGACCACTTCAAGGGGATCTTCAGGATATTTTTTCCCTGTCTCCTGCTGAGCAATTCATTAAGAGAAGATGAAACATTCCTATCAGGAATGCAGGGGTCAGGACAAAGCACTTGTAGGACTTTGCCCTCCTTTTGTTTTGCTCTGGGTGGGCAACAGAATCAAACATCCCAGGGAGGAGTGAGGGCACAGCTCAGGGCTGAAGTGAACCTGAGAACTTCCATCCTCTGGGCTCACTCCCACCCTCACCCTACAACTCACTCAGCTGCACTTTGCAGTTCTGTGAGCAGCTGTTTGGAACCAGGTGACTGAAATCATCTGTGCAATTAAAAAAAAAAAAAAAAGGAGTATTATTTGATACTTGGATTATTTCTGCCATCCCCTTTTCCCTCATGGGCCTGGTTTGCATTTCCTTCCAGGAATTCTGTCCCCTCTCTGGGATAAACTGCTCAGCTCATGGGGAAAACCAAAAGAAAATTTAAGGGGAAAAAAAAAAAAACCAACCAAACCTTTAGAGCAGAGACAGAGTTTGGTAACACATAATTAAGCATGATGGGGTAAACACTTGAGTCATCAGGTTTAAAGTATTTCAAATGTTCTGTGCTCAGGAGAGGTGGTTTCCTACATAAGACACTGCAGTTACTCAGCTCTCTCTTCCCTGCTCCTCCACACACTTTTATTTCCCTCCTGCCATGGGCACTTCTATCTTTTTTCAGCTTTCTTGTTCCCTGCATCATCTACTGGAAGGCAGATCTGCACTCACTCAAACCATCACTTATTTCTTAATAATCCGAAATAAATCAAAATTATCCTGCCCAGCTTCCCTTTAAGCTTCTCCCTCAGCTAAAACAAAGCATTTACTTAAATTAAAGGTACCAGTGCATTTACATTTGAGCACAACAAAAAGCACATTTAATGTACTTGGAGCATATCTGGTGTGTCTGAAGGTGTTTTTACAGATCCAGTGCGTTCCACACTGTGGCTCCAACAACCCATATGAGGGAAAACAGGAATATCTTAATATTTCACCACCTAGAAAATTCATTAATGTGCACCAAAGCCCCCCAGCTCATTGTGTGTGTGTGTAAAGATGTTTGCTTTATCACCAGGAAGCAGCAGACAGGTCTGCACAAACCTCCCCAGAACCAAAACTCGTGCACATGTTCCTTCCACTTCGGTTTTGCTCCAATTTGCAAATCTTGTAATCTAAGCCCGGAGTTGACTGAACCAACCTCCAAACCAGCCAAAAAACACAGTCTGGTTCCCATTTCTGTGTCAGGACTGCAGCCTTTCTAGGGGTTGGGAAAAACTATTGTTTAGAGAAGATTACAGAGTGAATCAGGGGCTGGGTGGGGTTGGAAGGGGAGTTTTAAAGACCCTCCAGTTCAAACCCCCAGCCAGACACTGCAGGGGTTTCACTGGATGCAAAACCTGGCTTGGAAAATGCAAAAGTGTGGGGAGCAAAAGCCAGTCCCAAACACAGGCACGAGGCTGAAGTTCCACCTTGTCGATAAGTACAGCGAGAACAGACCAAAAAATAATAAAAAAAAATCCATTGTCAGCAAATTCCTCTGGAAATTAATAACAGGTAACAAGCAGGGCTCCCAAAAACAACTTGCAGTAAATACAGAGAGAGACCAGTAAATACAGAGAGGTGTTTCAGGGTTTTCTTTCTGTTGAAGGTTTCTCACCAAGAGAACCAACCCAAACCTATCCATCCATTCTGAAAACAGATGAGGGTGTTTTTTTTTGTAGAAAAGCAGAAACCACCCATAATCTTTGAATTATTTTCCATTAACTAAAGGAACACAATAATACAATTATTAACTAAAGGAATACAGTAATAGTGAAAATAATGACCCTTACAGCTTGTCCTTTTATGAGGCACCTCAGCTTCTAAAAGAAGGATGTGAAGGAAGGTTTTTTCCAACCTGCTGTGGCTTTTAATTTAAACACTGAAATCAGGTAACAAGAATATTGGAGTTAAACACAGAAATAAAGCAGAGAAATGTGAAGGTTTGACAGTCTTCCTCCACACCCAGAGTGATTAAATTCTTAATTGAAAAAGGTGTGGCCCAGAATTAGTCTTACAACTGTAAGAAGATTTGCTTCAGCTGTTCAGCCTTTGAATGGCTGTGTAGAGGATTACCCCTGAAAAGCAAATATTTTCCTGTAGGTAGAGACATAAATCCTGTGCATTGTCTGAACTGAGGCATCAAACAGTCATAAAATATCTTCAAGGGCCTCTTCTAAAGAGGAGAGATTCAACAGCACTGGCCAGAGAGAGGCTGTGAACTCGTTTTTCTAACTCAAGGAAGTAGATTTTACACATATTTTGCTAATAAACAGTGCGTGGCTGTAACAATGAAATTACCTGGTGCTTGTAGTCCATGTGACTGCTGCTTGAAAGCATCTTTTAATTACTTTTTAAGACACAAAGATTGCTTTAGACGCTTCCCAATAGTAATTCTGACCAGGATTAATGTCAGGAAAGGTTAATCATCGAATTGTGGTTACACTGAGAATACAATAAACCTAAAATACCCCTTTCTTTATTTTATATCTCTTTTTTATTCCTTTCCAAAAGCTCAGATCGTAGGAAAGCCCACACTGACACACTGAAAGGAAGTTTAAAACCACATCCCAGTGTCATCCCACGAGCATAAAAAGGAAGGGAGCTCTAGAGATGTCATTTCCCAGGGCTTTTAGCTGCTGTTCCAGTTTTAGAGGTGACTTTATATCCTTACCCAGAGGATCCGATGCTTTTGCACACACCAAGCAGGGGCCGCTTCTCCGAGAAATTATCACATTTCTGGGCACCTGGGAAGAGGGAAAACCAACAGTGAGACAGAGCAAAGCACCCCGTGCTGGGGGTGTCACCTTCCCAGGCACAGGTGGGGGCCAAACCTCTGAATATCCGACACCAAACTCCCAGATCAGGGACAGAAACACAAATGCAGAGTCACGGACGCCGAAGAACTGGCAGAGATGGGATGGGATAAAAACCCCAGCAGCAAAACCTGGCCAGGGCTGGGGAGTTGTTTGGGTTCCTTCGGTGGGGGTTAAGGATTCTGTAAGTTTAGTGGGGGATATTTGCTCACTTTGCATTGTTTTATGAAGGACTGTCCGGGCTGAGGTGTCACCAGCTCTGGGAGGGTCTCACACCTCCGTTTCCAGCTGGTTCTGCTGAGGTGCCAGTGGAGGAAAGAGTGCCAGCCCCGAGAGAAACCACTTCTCCCTCCAGCCCCTGCCCCAGGAAACACCAGGTTAAACCCAAACCAGTCTGAATCCAAACCAGCTCCACCACCAAGAGATGTGAGGCTTTAAGAGAGAAACCTCCAGCGAGATTGAGGCGTCTCGCAGGGAAAGCCCAACTCTAACACCAGTGGTTTCCCCACAGCCCCAGTTTGTTCTAACTCAGCTGCTGGGACAGTTTTCCCAGCCCTGGGATCCTCTCCCAGCCCACTGGCACCAGGGCTGGAAAGAAAAGCAGCCCTGGGTGCCCCCAGGCTCAGTCACACCTTCCCCCAGCACGGCCAGACTGTTAAAGACGCCACACTTCTCCAAACGGGGGTTTAAGAGTTTGGAGAGCTTTGCTTTTACTGCTGCACAAACAGAAATAAAACTGAAACTGAGCCGAAAAAAAAAAGAAAAATCTCACTTCTGCCTGTGAACAGTTTTACTGAATTCCAGGGCATGTTCCTACCCAACTCAAACAGCAGAATAACAACCAACAGCACCACTGCTGAATTTCCTCCGTCTTCTTTCAACCTCTGCCTTTTTCATTATCTCTCTATAGGTCTGTGTGTGTGTGGTGAACAATGGAATTTCATTTTTTTCCCCTCCCTTTGATCTCTAAAGAATACCAGTGATACAGTCTGCTGAAGGCTCAATTCCCAAATACTGTGGCACAGCACTAAATCATTTGTTCAGAAGGGCACAACAATTAACAATATACATTTTCACATAACAGACTCTGTTAATTATTAATAACTCCGGTACATGCACTTAATTTGTAACAAACACTGTTCAGTCCCCTCATCTGCAGGAGGAGAAGTCTTCCCTCCCACACATTGGGGTATTTAGAAAGTCAAGTGGGCCCCATCAATAACTCCACCATCAACAATAGCTTTGCAAGCAGCCTAAAACAGCCAGATGTATTTTCCTTTTTATTCCTATTATTCCAAGGCCTTTCGTGAGTCAAACCTGTCCTGTATGTACTGACCTGTAAATTGATATATGAAACACGCAGTCTTCTTAAAATCTGGCAACCCATTTGTTCCCTCCAGTGCAGGGAACACACGAACTGCGTTTGTTCTGTTCCCTCAGCCAGGGGGAAATGCTGAGTACCACGAGTTCTCACACCCATTTAAGTGGAGCCAGGATTTCACCTGAAGTATTTAACTCTCCTTTTTTTTTTTTTATAGGGTTTAATTTAAGATTTATTAGAGACACGAATTCTTATGTTTCTTTATGGTCTAGTTCTCAGTTTAACAGCAAGGCAGGGGAAGGAAGCTGGTGGGGAATGCCAGTTTTAATCCCCACAGATGTGCAAAATTTCTACAATAGGTGCTTCGACTTCTCATTTCAGTCTGTAATGACCAAGGCCTTCATTTAAAAAAAGAAAAATAAAATAAAAAAATCCATTTTTTCCTCCAAATACCTTCAGAATGTAAATATTAATACCGTGGAAAAGGCTCATTACGGTGAGGGCTCCAAATCAGGTTAAGAGCTGCCCCGTTCACGGGATTGCAGAGTGCCACGTGCTGGGCTCTGTGCTGCCTAATGGAGGCAGTTCTGTGGTGGGATTTAATCCTCCAAGTTGTGGGGGATTAATTCTCATTTGCCAAATTGTGTTTATTTGCATGTGTGATGCGCTGACGCTGCACACACCTGCTGCACACACAGTGTTTAACGAAATGCAGGGGGATGATGGAAATGAAAAGCAGCTCCCTAAATCCCCCCAAATACAAAAAGTATTGAAATCCTGTTGCAAAGTCTTTTTCTTAAACTCCTTTTATTCTAAATCCTTTTAATTCTGTCATATAACACTGCAGCATTTATAAAATGCGGAAAATCCTGACAAATCACACAATTAAAGTAATGAAAACTGCCCTTCCTGCCAACGAGGCACCACCTTATCTACAGCTCCATTTAGCTAAATGATGTATGTTTGGGTTTTTTTTTTAAATGTAACTTCAGTTAGGAGACTTAAAATTGAAAAAAAAAAAAAAAAAACCCAAAAAAAAACACCACAAAACCCCACATCTGTGGCTAAAGGAAATGTCATACAAATCAACATTTAGAACTTTATGAAGTCAAAAGGTTATCCACACGTAAGCTCAAAGCAGCTTAAGCACTGTCCTGATGGAACTGTGAACAGAGATGTCGGGGCCCACCGAGGCCTCCCAATAATGCCAATAATGAGAGGAACAACAGCAGCATCACATCTTTGTGCAGAACAAAAATGGGCCCCCAGTGATTTCCACAGGAACTCCAAAGCTGCTCCAAGCTGTGAAAATGAGCCCCGTTTCCCATGAGGAAGAACTGGCTGCATTTCACACCCCTGACCTATTTACCAGCGGCGTATTTGCACCCTGGACTGTGTTTCCCTGGTCTGTGATTCCACTGACCGGTCCCATCACAGCCATTTCACAATGCAGAGCATCTCCTGGCTGAATAAACCCCCCTATTTCCACCCAGCCCTTGCCCATCACGCTGATGTGGTCCTGCCCCCCACGAGAGCAGCAGCCAAGGGGGGAAAATGCACGAGGCCACAGGGCTGGAATTCCCTCTGGATGTTATTTTACAACCCTGTGCTCCAAAATCCTCCCCTGTAATATCTGTGGGAGCCTTACTTGCTGCGCTGGGCAATTCCATCCTGTAATTTCCATCATCCAGGGACATTCATTATCCCAGAACAAGCCACAGAACACACAGACTCGAACACCTGCAGGACCCACCTCCACCAACCCAACCCTTGGTCCCAAGTGCTGCTTGTTCAGCTTTGCAGGGCCAGACAGAGCCTGGAATTACCTTGGCCTTGGGGGATCCCAAACCACTGAGCCACCCACGAGGCTGAACAGGCACAAACCCCACATCTGCCTCCCCTCTTTAGAGAACAACCTCAATATTCCAGCTCTGTGATCGTACCTGCACAGAAACCTGAGTCAGCTCGGGAGGCTCAAATCCTGTGGTACCAACATCAAAGATGGGAGCAGTGCAGAGCAGCAATAAATCTGCTGCAAAACTGCAACTTTCAACAGTTTCCAGTACCTCTGATTTCTTTTATTTCCTTTCTTGTTTGCTTTTTCCCTCCCCTTATCAGTCAATTTGACTAAACAGTCAAATTCACTGGGAGATGTGGGGCTATAATACCATCTCCCTGCAAGCAGCATAATCTAGAAAATGGCAATAAATTAATTCAGCTGGCTGGGGGAATTGATTTTCATAATGCTGAGACGTGGAAATAGGTTTTACAGACAGTGACTGATCTAAAGTCCATCACACAGGCCTGTCACCATGCCCCTCTCACCAGGAATTCCCACACACAACGCTGCTCCTGCAGCTTTCCAAGCTCCTTGATTGATTTTTAACTGTGCAGCTCTGCCTTAGCAAGTGGGACAGCACAAGGCAAAGCAGGTATTTGGCCAGGGGGTTGTAAAATGAATGGTAAGGAATGAAAAATGGGAGGCTGTAGCACTGACTGACTTCAGAAAGCATCAATATTCTGAATTTGTAGGTAAAAGAACAGCAAAGACAACTAAGTACATGTATTCTTTCCTCAGCACTGATCTTGCAGAAATATCTGCAATGGACCTCAAAACAAAGTCAAAACACAACATCTTTTTAAAACTATTAGAGGAGCTCTGAATCTTTTTTTTTTACGAGTGACTTTTGCTTGATTCTCTCACCACCTCCAACTACCACGATCTACACCACAACAGTGCCAGGGCTCAGAAATCCTCTTGCTAAGACTGAAATTATTCTCACAGTCTAAATATCAGCCCTGCAAGCCCCAAAACCTGGTCACAGTGAAAACCTTCAGGCCCCGAGAAGGCCATTCAATTGTAAACTCTACAAAGTAACTGAAGCCATGGCTCCTATTGAAGGAGGCACAGCCTGACCCCGGAGGAGAGTTAAAGCCTGTGTTTTTAGCATTATTTACAGAAATCTGTCCATTTTTCATGGCCAGGATGCAGACCTGGCCATGGCCACGGGACATCAAAGCTCTGCAGTGCTGGGCCAGCTCAGGCCTCGCCAGCTCTGCTGGCTCAGGCAGGAGGTGCCCCAAGAGCCTGGCAGAGCTGCCAGCTCAGAGCAGCTCCAGGAGCCCCAGAGCAGCTCCAGCCCGGCCCAGCTCCTGCCACACCTGCCCCCAGCCCAGCTGGCAGCTCCCAGGGCCTGCCCCTGCCCCCAGAACCCGCTCCAGCAGCTCAGGAGAGCTCCTGAGCGAGATCCCTGCACGGCACAGCTCGGCTGCCACGCCGGGTCACGGTGCAGGGAGCACCCAGAGGAGCTCACATCAAAGGGCCAGGCATCTCCAACCAAACAGCTGACAAACTATTCAGCTCTGCTTCTGCAAAGTCACCAAGTTAAAGCCATGGGCTTTCCTTTCACACCTGGGAATGAGCTGCTTATCACCAACCGAGATCTGCCTTCAGGAACGTGCCAAATCCATCCACCCAGAGACTCCTATTTTCAATAATTCCCTTTTTACAGCTTTACAGTAAAACAGTGTTTGGGCCTGCTGATGGTAATCAGCTTCTCCTTTACACACTCCTTTTATTTTGTTCAGAATCATTAAAGCTCATGTGTTAGTTATCTAAGGCCTCTTATTACAGCTTTACTTTTATCTGATTCCAGATACCGGTCAATGATACATTCATGTACTTTTAATCAAAGATTTATTTAAAGCAAGCCATGTAAAAAGAGACCAAAACATGTTTTTAAAAGGTTTGGCTTAATTTAATATGAGCTAATTTGAATAGTTTTCTAATGTAACAACCACCATTGTCAGATGCTAAATACATGGAATTTAGAGACAGAAAGACAGTAACTTCTTGAAGGAGTTCATGAGCAGTGGAAGTCGACTGAAAAATCAAAAAGCACTGTTTTATTGTCAGAAAAAAACCAGAACTTGCAGGTTCTTCAGTTAATTCATTTTCATTTCCATTTACACTTCTCTTTCTCCTTTTTTTTCCCCCTTTGAGAGAGGAAGGGGCATAGATATCCCTCACTTAATGACACACAAGAGAGCAAAAGAACAGCTCATCAGGAATTGTGCAGCATTCCTGCAAATGGAATTCGAGGCACAACATGCTTGGGAAGTACTTTAAGTTATTTTAACCTATATTATAACCACATACACTCATGCTTTGTGTATTCCTCTGCTCAGAACACCACCAAGACAACATATAAGGTGTCCATTAAACCTTTAACTTTCTCCATTTGCTGTCTTTGAAACAGACAAAATTATAATAATTTCATAGTTTTGGAATATTTTGAACAATTAAGATTTCAGGCTGTATTTTTGAGTTCACCAGTGAATTCATAACTTATTACTGAAAATTGTAATCCAGCACAATCCCAAAACACCTTGATCAGGCCAGATATTGGCAACCAATTCAAACCAGAGCCCAGCAGCTCTGAGGCCTTTCAGAGGTCTACAATTACATTGTGTCTGGATTGAACAGTGTCATTTTTAAAGGGATTTGCTCGTTGTACGGTTGCTTAAGTTTTGCATCAAGTTCTTCCAAGGGTTAACTCAATTTCTGGAACGATCCTGTTAAACTAAACAGCTTGGCTTAGGAGTTGATAAACCAGTATTTAAGCAGGGACAGAGAGGAGCTGCCTGTTGGCACTCAAGGGATGATAAGAGTTCAACTCCTTAAAAAGGTCAAACCGAGTAAACTTTATGTAAAACAAGCAGAAATTGAACAAAGCAGAAGCTAAGCCTCAAAAAAAAAAACCCAAATTCTGTTGTTCTCTTACTTCTACTGGAGTGGAAAAGCAGCTTTTCCGAAGAAGTTCTGCTGGATTACGAAGCACATAACTCAGAACTTACTGATTTGTGGGGCTGGCAAAATCCGTGCGGCTCGAACGGGCCCGTGGCGGATGGAGAAGAGCTCCTGAGCTTCACCACTGATCTGCAAAACACAGGGACTGTGAGCACACAGGGGGCACAACACACAGAGACTGCGAAAAATCGACACGTTCAGCAGGTGAGACAGCAGGAACAGACACACTGCAGCAAAGGGAGCGGGGCAAGGAGGTTGGTAAAACTCTGCCTTTCAACTTCTCCGAGAGAGAGAACATCTCCTGAACTGAGTGCTCGTGACCACACGTGTTGGAGAAGCAGCAAGGCTTGAAGGGGACTGCAGAGTAAAAAACTCACAAAAACCTGAGGAATCTGCAACACAAGCACCCACCTGCTGCTGAGAAAGATGCCAACTTGCCAGTGCCCAAGAGTGGCAAACACGGGGTGGGTAAAAGAGATGGGAGAATTTCCCATGTTGGTTCATTGCAGACCCACCAGGTGGGAAAATGACGGTTAAAAACAGGAGGGCAAACTGCTTCAGTTATGTCACCAGTGGCAAATCTTGAAAAGATTAAGCCAGGAGTGGTTAAGATGGATTTGCAGGCTTCCTGCAACGGTCAGTGGGAGCGTGTTTCCGTAACTGCCTGGTAACGGATCCGACACGGAACGTCAAACTCCAGGAAAACGGCACAGGTTGTGAAGCTCATTTCCAAACAACCAACGGCTTAAAAACACATGTAATGAGGCCCAGAGCACAGCCAAGGCTGGCACAGAGTTCTGCCAAACAGGCAGCTCGCAGTATCAGAGGGGAACACGGTTTGGAATGAGGTTCTTAGGAGTCAATAAACTGTAAATTCAAGTGAACTTTTGGAACTGTCACTTTATGGCTGTTTCCATTTCTTTCCGCACTCCAGCTCACACGTTCAGAAAGTTAAAATGCTCCTACTGTTTGACCAACAAATCCTAAATACAGCACTCCAGGCTCTCAGCTCAAGTCCAGTCTTAAGCTGGAGCCTTGTTATTTTTTATCATTGCTCTGGATAATGTGAAGGATGAAACCCAGCCCGGTGAAGCACAAGTTTGAGTACAATGACTTTGAAAACACTCTTTACTACAGAGCTAGCCCACCCTTCTGCACACAGTAACACAATGGAGAGAACTCCTGCTTTTCCCTATTATGCCTGGAGTAACAAAGCTACACAAATGTGGGGAAATCACATTCCAAGCCATTTTAGCTTTGCAGACAGGTAGCAGTTCCACTGATATCCAATGACATCAATTAACACTGCTGTTAATGACACCATCAGAGTTACTCCTGACAAACACAACAGTTTTAAAACTCTAATCAATATGAGAATTAATCCCTTGGTCTACCCTGCTCTTGTTTTATTAGGCAGATGTTCTCTGATCACAGCAGATTCTCCTCTTCCCTCCAGCAGCGTCTGAACACACATTATGGTGCTTCAGCTTTTGCAAAACAAGTTTAATTCTCCCCCAGGGACAGCCAGAGGCCTCTGCTCTGAACAGCTTCTCCACCAGATTCTGCACAAGACCCAGGAATGAAGGTCAGGAATCAGCTCAGTAAAGGTTTGCTGATTGGTTTTAACTGATGGTGAGCTGGGAGTGCAGTGTGGAAAAAAACCATCAAGATAAAAACATCTGCATCCAGAAAAAACAGCCTGGAAAAACGTAGAGCAGAGCTAAGCAGAAAATGAGAAAAAATTAAAGAGAGACAGGGCAATAAAGAGATGAAAAAACTTAAGACAGCAGCACGTTCTCCATCCATCAGAACACAGCAGCTCTGGGGAAAGGGGAGGGAGGAAATGGAGAAGAAGAAAAATACAAGGTTTTGGAACTATTATTATTGGCAATTAAAGCCTTTTTCCCCCAAAATCATGAAAATGCCGCTTCACACGTGTATGCACAACACTGGCCATGAATGAAAAACAAGAGGGAAAGGAACCAGCACAGCAAAGGTACGGAAGAAGTGATCCCCATAAAATATCCCAACCCCATCCAGACACCTCCTGCTCCTTTCTAGCTCTGCCAGCACCTCAGCCCCAGCTCCCATCGACCTCAAAGAAAGTGCAAGTCCCCGAAGGAAGATACACCAAGAAGGCCAAACCTTCTCAGCTCAGGTTCTGCTCTTAAATATCCTGAACTCCAGGAGTCTGTTTATTCAGACTGGGGTGCCAAGACCTGGTAGAGCTTAAAGCTGAGATTTTCAAAGAAAAGCCCAAACACAAATGCAGTTCGTTTGTACTGAAGCATTTCACGTGAAAATCCCAGCCCAGGCTCTTCTCACCCATGTAATGCTTTTACTTTTTAATAATTAATAAACAGGACTTGAAAGATAATTTATTATTTCATATGGGGGGGGGGGATGCCAGAGAGAAAGGTTCAGTGGAGTAACCAAAGCCACAGGATCTGACAGTGGCAAAGATGAGATTATAGGTATTTAGCTCCTGTTCTGAGACCACTGCAATGTTTAATACTGCAGAGTAACAGGTCCTTTCCTCTGTGTAGGATCCCAAATCACGGCATGGTTTGGTTCCAAATAACTTCAACTCTGCAGCTCACGTGCTCCTGGGAGCCAAAAAAGGGCATATTTTAAGACATACCCCCACTGGAGAGTCTAGAATGAAAATACAAGATGCCACCCAACCACTGGCATCTGGTTTGGAAAGGAAATTCAAATTCAGTAACAGGCAGCAAAAGGAAAGTCTACAACATGGAGCAAATTAAAACACTAATATTTAACCTACCACATCTTCATAAAATAACAGGGGTTTTTAAGCATTTGTGTGCCCTTAACTGTTCTACAGACAGGGACTCATAGAAGGCTTTGCACATTGTTGTGTGCCATGAATTAGTCAGAGCCTGGTTGTTCCCTGGTTTGCTTGGCACTGAAAAATGCATCAGGGCTTTGAGTTTGAGATTCCCTCTGACTTTAATTAACTTTTTTTAAACACTACTGCCACCACCAGAAGCTTCAGCCATTTGCCATCTTATAAAATTCTGAATTAACTGTGGTTAATGTCACACCCTTCATTTATCTGTGGACAACACAGACCTTTATTACCAGTGCTGGGGCCACACAGACCAAATCTGTCTCTTCAGGGGAGAAGGACTGGATGGGCTGATCTTCCTGAGACAGCCAAGAGAGAGCCAAAATTTCCTGAGAATGGGACACTTATTCTGTCAGGAACCCGAGTGGGAACCACAGGCAGCCCCACCGGTGACCGGCTGGGCAGGGCTCAGGGAAAGGCTCCACATCCCATTACCAGTCCCTGGAGCTCCCCAGTCTCACACGCACAGACAAAACATAAATAGACCTCATGAATTGGAAACAGAGCTGTAAATTCTTCAAAAGGCACCTGTGAGAAGCGGGGCTGTGGCTGCCACCCTGGACGGGCTCCAGCTAAGTAGCAAGTCCCCGTGGCAGCCCTCGGAGCTCTTAAAAGTTTTTCCTTCCCCATTCCAAAAGCCAAGAATGCTTCCCAAGCAGGTTTCAAGAATGGGATATGAAGCTGTAAAAGCAGCTCCAGGTACTTGCTGTGTGGAAGAGGGAATCCAAAATGACGGCTCCAAGCTGGTCTGATAGAACATCTCAGCTTGGTCAGGATCGAACCACAACTCCCAGACCTACGTGGAAGGCCAGAAGGACACGTGGATTCATATCCCAGCCCCCAGTGAAGTCTTCATCACCCTCTTCCAATGACAGATTGAAGGGGAAGAACTCCTCTCTCCTCCACTTAAGGCATCTTGAGCTTAAAATATGACAGCGCAGCAATCTGGAGCGCTGGTTAATTTTCGATGACAGAGCCGCATTGTTTGGAGCACACCAGTTTGCACCCATAAAAAACACTGAACAAAGGAAGTTTTGTTCACACTAAGGATAACTAATAGTTTCCAACCATAGAAAATGGTTTTCACATGGTGCAAAAAAAAAAAAAAAAAAAAAGAAAAAGTCAAAACATGCACCAAAGTGAAAGAAAATTGAGTTGGGAACTCAATGTTTAAACTACTGTGCAACTACAGAAAAGGAAACTGGGGAATATGGAAAAGGAAAAGGGAATGTATCAGGATGTTATGACAATAAGCAATTGACAGACACCACCACAAAATATTGCTGGATATAACCACACTGGGTTAGAGACAACTTCCAGTCATTGCAGTAAGGAGAGAGTAGGGAAGGACTGGAAGTGAAAGGATCAACTTTAACACTTTAGTTTAGAAATTCAAACAGTCTGCATTTTCATTCAAACCAAATATCTTGAATTACCTAGAGACCATAAGGATTTAGATGCTCAAAGAATATTACAGACATCTACTCTAGTGACTGGACTGAGTATGAAGTGGCACCCAGTACTTTCAATTATGGCAGTGCCATCGAAAACTCTGTAAGACCAGAAAATTTCTTGCACACTGTGCACTCATCCTCAGTGTGAAAAACCCAAAGCCTCAGGAAATGATTTGTAAAGTCCCTCAGACATTTTTCAGGGTTCCTAGGTCAGGTTGTTATTCCATTTTTCCAAGTGGCCAATGCAAGCCTGGACAGTGGTTCCCTCTAGGGATACCTGGACAGAGGAAGGATTGCAGCTGAGGATACCCCAGCCTTGGAGTATTTTTGCTAAATACACATCTGTGCTTGTTAGTCAAAGTCCCCTTTGGTAGTTCCTGCCTTATTCAACTCCAACTCGATCCTTCTTTTTTAATTCCAACACGAGCCATTGAATTAAGACGATTTTTCTACTTTTGAAACATCCAGCGTGCAATGAAACAAAACTTATCTGCCCCAAAGGCAGCCAACATGCATTTCCCTGGACAGGAACATCCAGAGCAGATACTTGGATACCACATTAGGCAGAAACCAGTTCCAACTGGTGTTTGAAACACGAAGCTGGGAGCGAGGCAAAACCAAATTCCAAACAAAACCGCGCCGCCCAATTATCAAATAGGAACTCCTAGCCTTGCCCTGGTGTATTCCCAGATTTCCCCCCCCCAAGCTCAGCGAGGCGCATTTTAAGAACACTTTTAACCTTCCCACCCCCATTTTCCAAACAAAGATCAAAGCAGGGCCCTTTGGATGGACACCTTCCGCTCCTGGTGCAACAAAGAGCTTGCACTGGCAACCCCAGCGCTGCTCCAGACAACCCTCCCCGGCCCTTTGAAGCCGCCCTAATGGTGTCTTCCATTTGCCAGTCACACCCGCGCAGTCAAAGATCTTACTCCGAGGAGATGTTAATGTGAAAGCACTCAGACTGCAGAGAGACACAGGGCCCTCGCAGAAAGGCTGCCGAGGTGTGGGCAAGTCAATGTAACACCATTACCGGCGAGTGTGGGCTTAGGAGCTGTCATAAACACTTCATAATCACTCACACGCCGACTCCACTGCCTGCAACACGTTATTAAGTGCTGAATAGAGCTTCAATTGTAGGAATAAAAAAGCACAATGCCGCAGATAATAGCCTTCCCGAGGAGATTTTCACATAAACGTCAGGTCGTTGCTTTTTCAGATTAAAAGCTTTTTTTAAAAGTGGAGAATGCAGGGTGGGTGTTGGGGACTTAGCTGGAATAATAACATTGCTTAATTACAAGCTAAATACTCAGCAAGGCCAAGTAGAAAGGTTTGTCTAATACCAAAGGACACAAAAAAAAAGTGTTGCCAAATAAGCTCTTAAATATCAAGTCAATCAGGTAACTGCCACATTTTGTTGTGCTGGGATTAAACAAACGAAAAAATGCAAAGGAGAAACAACAGTGTGGACAAAAACCCACCAGGTTATGTTCCCCGTAAATGTGTTGGAAACACAAATCCCGCTCTGGAAAGGTCTTTAAAGTTGGTCTTAAGAACTATCATTCTGTGACAATCCCCAAGACCACCTTACTAAAAAAGGAATCACTCCAACTGTGAATTAACACAACTAACACAAACTGCACAGGTCCAAGTTGAACCTCCCTGCATATGGCCTCAGAATACACAGATGAAGGGCTGACTAAGTGATCCACTATCCCTACAGTCACTAATCTTAAGACTGATGGTAAAATATTTCCACATTTGGCATTTTCTCCATTTCACTGCCCTTCTCACCACAAATACTCCTGCAAAAACTGAACCACGCTCAGAGAAACTGCCCTGCAGTTTCACTTTTGTTATTTTTTCCTCAAATATTAAATACAACCAAAATCTAGGAATTATGAATAAGTGCAATACACTGGGAGGGGGTAGGGGGGGTGGGATGGAGGGTAGAGCCAACCTGGCTGTAGGGTCTTACTGAAAAAGAAAGTAAAATCAGGTGTTTCATGGCCTAAATTGTTGCTCATTCAGACATAAGGAGGAGGAAGGGGAAAAAGAGGGAAAAGAAAGAGGGTGGAGGAAGAGAAAGGAAAAACCCCACCCATAAACCTGAAGGAAACCCTTCTCCCCCATTAGGAAAACTAGAAAACTGTATGGTAATGCACTGCCTGGCTGACAGTGACACTAAGGACAAACAAAATCGTTTAACTTGTCATTTAGTGGCAATCTCCACCAAATGATTCCATGATCACTGCAGTTTAGATGCAGACAGGCACTGCAGAGCTGGCTACACCGAGGTGACCGTCCCCATCCCAAAGAACTGAAACTCTTCCGTTCTTCCTTCCCTCACCCGTATGAGATCCCACCCCACTCTGACAGGGACACTCCTTGGTTTGGACACGCAAAGCCCTTCAGGAGGGGTGCACAGAGCCCTCCTGATGCCAGAGCAGGGGCTTGTTCCACACACACACACTGAGAGGGATGAACCAGCCCCATCACCTCAGGGCTGGGCTCGGCCCAGTGGGACCAGCACAAACCCTACACACAACCCAAACAATTCCAGATCTTTCTCAGAAAACACGGGTTCATTCCGACCAAGAACATTTCAGCTGGCTGAAACAGGGCGTTCTGTAAGAATTCTTCAGCTCAGGATGCTTATCCCGACGGTGCTTTTAATTAATTAATTATCGAAGCGCCCGTCGCCCGGTGTCGCAGCGGCACCGTGTGGGGGGCCTGTGCAAATACAGCGTGGGACAAACTCCCTCAGGGAGCCGGCCCTCCGGGTTTCCACAGAATTACCTGACCCTCCGGGTTTCCACAGGATTACAGGACGGGTCGTCTTGGAAGGGACCTTAAAGATCATTTATTCCATCCCCTGCATGGGCAGGGACAGCTCCCACCATCCCAGGTTGCTCCAACCTGGCCTTGGGCACTTGCAGGGATGGGGCTTCTCTGTGAGGTGCCAGGGCCTCCCCACCCTCCCAGCCCGGAATTCCTTCCCAAAATCCCAACTAACCCTGCCCTCTGGCAGTTTGAAAGACAACCCAGTGGAAAAGCAGATTTTTTTTTCAAATATTAAAAAAAAAAAAAAAAAAAAAGTACCCAAAGCATCTTTAGTGGCTCATTTCAGCTCTAAAAACATAAAATATAAACCCGACCCAAAGTTGGGTTTTGGTCCTTTGAAAATAAACCCCTGAAAGTCAGAAATTGCAAGTGTTTTCTCAGGACAATATTATTTTGGCGTGCAGTGTTCCAAATTTTTGGGTTGAGCTCCTAAATTTTAGTAAACAGTCACAGAATAATGAAATTTAGTGAAGCATATTAGGTGTCACTCCATTTCTGTTAAACCTTCCATCCAATCCAAAAGCTCAGCAGCTTTTTTTTAATTTCCTCATCTCCGGCCAACAAGATGCAATCAAGAGGGGGAAAAACTCTCCCACACTTCCTGAAACTCAATGTAACTGAACTTTGGGTGTAGAAATTAACATTATTTTCTACAAACTACTGCTATGTAAATGTATGTCCTACAAAGGCAACCAAAATTAAAGCTGCAAACCCTGTACATGGCAAATGGGACTGTGGAATACCACCAACACTGTCACACCGGCACTGCTGGGACAAACAAACCCTTGTTTGTGTTTTTCCACCCTTATTCTTTTCTCTTAAATAAAAGATCTTGTTCTTTCTGGGCTACAAACTGTTGCCTAACATCAAACACTGCTCCCAGTTTAGGTCTGAAAGTGTGTTTAAGGTAAATAACGTATCAAAAGCCCTCCAATCTGCAGGTACATGAATTCAGGTGTTTGATCTGTGCTCAGCGTTACCTTCAGACAAGCACATTGCACACAAGCCACGTGACAGCCATGGGAAACGTTGGACTCTTTCAGTAGGAAAAATTAAAAGTAAAATATTAAGGCAGCAGCACAACATGAGCAAAAAAAATCCCCTGGTAGCAAGGAGGGGTGAGCTCTGTACTCACAGGGATGCTCCAGACTTGCATTCCATCGCTGTATCCAATCATCAGCAGTAAGGGGGGCTCGTTCCCAGTGCTGTGGATCTCATGGAACTCCATATTCCTGGATGTATCTGCAGGGGGTTAAACAGCAAAGGCATGAGGAGCAGGTCAGGACCCAGCACAGCTGCCAGGAACACTAGAGGGTGTTTGCTCACTGCACCTTTCTGCTGGCAGAAGCAAAAGCAACCAGAGTGGTTTCAACTTTTCTGCTGGAGCAACACCAGAGTATGTTCTTTAATGCAAACATCAACGACTCACAGAGAAGTTAAAAAGTTTTACAATTTAAAACAATGGAGAAAAATATTCATGGACTACAACATGTTTCTTCCTCCAGGGATGAATAAAACGTGGCAAACTTTTCAAACAGAGACAGATTTGCACAGGACCAACAAAATAAACAGTAACAGATACAGAAATGCACAGGCTAGGCAGAACTATTTCTACATTTGTTCAATTAATTAATTAATTAATCCCTGTCACACCACTGAAAATGTACCTGGGACCCAGACTGGACTCAGTTACATAACGTGGCTTTGAAATCAAACTGCAGGTGAAATAAATTCAGTTCTATGCTTTGTTTGCAACTACCCTCAGGAAAATAAATGGATTTTTTTCTACTTTGCATTTCTTCCCAAGCAGGAGTTTGTTTGCCTTTAGATGAATCACAAGGCCTATTTACTCTGTTAGGCAGGTACTGAGCAAAAGTGCAGCTATCACTTAGAACGTGGGGAAATTAAATACTTAATTATGGATATAATTTATAGATTAATTATGGATATAATTTATGGATAAAACTGACTGGAATTATTGCACATGGGCCCAAAATTCATTAAAATAATGAAGTTGGAAAACGAAGCCATACCATTTAAATCTGCATTTTCAAATCTGACCCAAACAATCTTCTCCTTTTCTTCTGGTGGGGTCCCACTGTAGGCCTGGACAAAAAGCAAAAGGGGTTGAAATAAGTAAATTTAACATTCTTTTTTTTTTCCTCCCTCTCTAAGAGGGAATGTAAGTTAAAAAAAAAGAAAAAAAACCTGATACATGTGTCTCATTGTCACCAGTATTCCTGGGAGCTTTGGTGTCAGGAATTAATGTTTCCATGGGCAATATAACCACATTAAACATCACTTACTAACATAGGAATGACAAATATATATAACAACCAATCTGCTGGGGCAGGTCAGAAATACCACTTGAATTCCAGCAGGTCAGTAAAGTAAAATTTTTACCATTATGGAGGAAAAGCATTGGGAATTCCTAGAAGGAAATCCATGAGGAAACCAAGGCACCAGCTAACCAAGATAATCCTTCAAATCCAAGTCAGGAGTGTTTCCTGAGGCTCCAGTGAGCTGCAGGGCTCCTCCACTACAGACCACAGCTTTCCAGAGGGGAAAACAGAATTCCTGCCCCTCTGCTACTGAGAGGCCCAGGGGCAACATGGGAGGGACCAGTCCAGTTCCACAATTAAATATCAATGTATTTATAGATAATTATATATATTTGAGGTAAAGCCAACACCAATATGTTTACATTGATAAATATCAATGTGGTCTTGTCTAAATTTATCTGTTATATGAAATAATACATCTGACCAAGGGTCAGGCAGAGCTGCACAGTCCCACAGCAGCCAGGACATGCTGGGGCAAGTCAAGGAAACAAGACATAAAAGCAGGATTAAGTTTCTTTTGCCTCCCTTTCTCCTTTTCAGTGCTAAAAGGTGGCAAAGGGTGTCCACCAAGCTGTGCTGCACCAGTCCAGCCACCTCCCAGAAAACACATATTTGTAAGAGGTAGAGCAAGTACCACAGGCAGTCCCTCCCCTCCCCAACCCTCCCACTGCTAAAATTATCACGGGAAAAGCTGCAATCTTCTTCCTGCTATTTATACTGCAGTCCTTCCACTGTGTGCCTGTGATTTTCATTTTATTCTCACTCATCAGAGGAAGTGTGCAGGCCCATCCTCAGCTGCTCTGCAGTCTGAGCTCGCAAACCCCATCTCAAGATTCACATTCAGAGGGCCAAAATATTTGGCTTTTGGGGTTTTTTCTGGGTTTTTTACTTTATTTTGGTCCACCTGACATCCATTTCCAAAGACAGCTTTAAAGCCCTGCACGTACCTGTGGCACAACATCTTGCAGGAAGGTAACAACGCTCTCCATGTAGGACTGTTCCCTGGAAAACAGGAGAATTTCAGCTACCACTGGAGCTCAGAAATGGTCATGGAAATATTAAACAAGGCACACAGAACCAGGGCAAACATGGACAATCCTCAGCACAGAGGAAAATACCAAGTATGCAGTGCAGTTATTTAATACACTGCCAAACACTGGTAATATAAATAGTGGCCTCTAAGAAATGAAAGGAATAAATACAAGCAATAAAAGTCTGTAAAAAAAAAAAAAAAGCTAAGTGACACCTGCTTATGGAATATAAAACCTAACAATGAAGGAATAAGCCACGTTCTCCACATCACAGTGGATGACTGAAGGAGTAGGGGCATTTGGAAATCATCCCTCAGTATTCTTCTCCCTGATTTGGCTGCTACAGCATGAAAATGAGGATTTAACCCCAGTGGGACAAGGAAACTTCCAGTCCTCCTGTGCACGATGTGCAAGGATGGAGTCAGTGGCAGCACAAGGGGGGCAGGAGATGGGAGCGACATCCTCCCTAAGAATAGCAGGGAGAGGTATTTTCAGCCGAGATCTGATAGCTTGGGAAGCTCATTCCTTCTTGGAAGTTCAGCAGCAGCCACGATTCAGGCTGCTGTGGACCGTGAGGTGCATTTGTTGTGGTGGATTTGAAGCGATGCTTTTATTAGCTCGGCCCTGCCCGAGCGGTGAGTCCCTCGTGTAAGTGCTGAGTAACGCGGTGTGGGCTGAGCGGCTCACGCGGATGGGGTCGAAACTGTGCAAGAACTTTGGGGGTTTTTAACGCAGTGAGTAACACTGAGACACTCTAGCAGCAAGAACTACCTTCACACAGTCTGGGACTACTCAAAAAAAAAAAAAAATCCAACAACTCCTCAGGCAACAGCTTTGGCAGCCCCCACACTGACTCGTCTGCTGTCACGGTTTTTCCTGCGCTGACTCAAGGTCTCTGACAGCAACGAAGGAAACCTGTAAACTAAGAACTCCTGGATGGCCAAAGGTGCTCTGTGAAGCTGTGCAAGAGTGTTTTAATAGAAGTGGGAGTGCTTAGCACCTGAAGAGGGAAGTCCTCTGAAGCATTAAGCACTGCACACAGCAATACAGAAGACATTGAAGTCAACGGCTGCACCAGCTGGAAGAGTTTTCCTCTCTGAAAACACAGATAAAAACTAAAACAAAGTCTTAAAGACTTAAGAAAGCTTCCTCCAGCTCATGGTAAAAACAGACTTGGTCCAGCAATCCAAGGATTGCTGCATCCCAGTTTGTCCCAGTGCTTTAGGCTGAGGCCTCACAAACGAGCTGTGGTTTCCAGTGCTGATTCCTCTCAGATTTATGTAGGTCACCCAAACTGCCCTTGCACCCCTGATTATAAAGCTTGGCCACAGGTAGAGTGTTAACCACAGTGTCTGAAGTTTTGGGAATGCCTACCAGCCAGACTCATCCTGTCCTCATGGAATGGACTTCTCCCTCCCCCAGCCACACATCAAAACAAATCTGACACCTGGGCAATGCTTTATGCAGTGTATGTACTCCAGATCTCTCCTGAGGTTGAAAACCTTCCAGGAAGAGGTCTTGAAAGTGCTTAAAAATGACAAAAGCCACCAAAAAAAAAAAAAAGAAGCTTTCAGCAGCAGAACTCTGCTGTGCTGCTCAGCACACACAGACTCAAAACCACTGACATTTGTGAGGTGAACACAGGTACCCCAAGAACAAGACATCATATTTAAAAGAACAAAAAAAAAATAACCATCATAATGAACTTCTTACAGTGTTTTTCTAGTATTATATTCTTAAAGCCTGTTTTCAGGAAAAGGTCATTACAAACAGAAGTGTGTCTGTTGAGGAATCCTGAAACAAACAAAAAAAAAAGCTTCCTCTGTCACAGGGCTGCAAGACAAACCTCAAACACAACTTCCTCTGCTACAACAACCAGTTTCTTGTGCTCTCCAGTAAAAATAGAGTGAATCTTGATGTTTAAACACACAGTCATCTCCAGGGGCAAAAACTGAAGGGAGTATTTTGATGCAGTGCTCTCTCTTGCAGCAGTGTAAGCATCCCAAGAAAGAACTGCTACAAAAATCCTTTAACTGACAAAGACCACAAACCTTCCAGACTGTCTTACAGCCAAAAAGCTCTTCTTGCCATGGAAGCATTTCCATGTGAACACAATGAAAGTCGGGGTGCCCAAGGACAAAAACGGTCTCTTGGGAGCTCTGGCCAAAGAGACAGAGCTGCTTCCTTTCTTCTTGGTTTTGTTCTCTTAAGTTAAAAAGAAAAAAAAAAATAGAATCTACAACTCTACTTACTAATGGATTTTAATGACAAATCTTGATGTGTTTTAATATATCCAGTCCAGGAGGACAAGGTGCTACTGAAGAGAACAGCAAGGAAGGACAATGTGCAGCCTGTCCCTCTGGCCTAAGGAAGTTTGCACCATTGACCTGCAGCCAGTGCAGTGTTTGTACAGCAAAATGGTGCAACCAACACCAAAACTATGCAACATTCCAGTTTCCTAAACCTGCAGCTTTGCTGTGGTGTGTTAGTGCAAAGCACCCCAGGCAGGGAGACAGTTTGACCTGCACCTGAAAGATGGAAATGCAACATGGGCTGACTTTTGGAAAACCGCAGTGGCAACACGAGCCCTCCCAGCTGGCTTGGAAAAGAAACCCCACAAAAACACAGGCAAGGTCCTCCTACAAGAAAATAAAGAGCATTTCAGCCAGAGCTGTTGTTCTAGAAGGTTCTTACGTGGCAGCTTGAGGCCGAACCACCACCCCTCCGGTGCATCGGCTGGGCCGGCGCGGGGACTCCGTCGCCATCGCTTCTGTGCTCACACCTGCAGGAAACACAGCCCTGTTTAACAGCATTACCTGTCACAAACCTCCTGACAGTATTCCTCGAGGTGGTAACAGAGCAGCTCCACTCAGACAAACCTGCAGGTGCCTTTACAGCACTTTTTTTTTTTTAAGCAAAAGAAGAGCACGCGCCCAACCGGCGATTTCTCTTTGCAGTGACTCTGTCACTGCAGCTCCTCGAGAGTTTGTGGGAGCAAAAAAACACCCCACAGGCCTGCATGATAAACTGGAAAAGTATCTCAGCTCTCAACCCTTTCAACCCAAACAATTTCGAGATTAAAGACAGTGGTACAGGCACACAGGTGTCACCACCATTACATAAACCCAGTATTTACTATTGTCTTGGAAAATAATGATATAAAAATAACGTACAGTCACAACTGCAGTGTATTGTACTCTGGAAAAAAAAAGGGTTACACTGAAGCTCACACAAAAAGTGTGGTGGAACACATTCTGCTGTTCCATGTCAGCTCTTTGTGTCACCTGGGAGCGCTGCTTCACACTTCTGATGTGTGAGCACTCTGGGTAATGTTCCTAAAGGCAAAAAGCACTTAAGGAGCATCACAGATCCTTCACAGCTCCTCAGTCCACTCCGCTGTGTCCCCCCACCCCAAACCAAGAACCTGGGCACAAAGGGAGAGAAAAACCCAAACCCCCAACGTGGTACCAATTGCCAGCATCGTTTCAGGTCGGGGCAGACTCTGCCAGGGCCAGCTCAGTAAGTGAGGCAAGATAACGAGCCAGAAGTTAATAACAAAAGTGATAATTAATAACAAAACCTTCAGGAACACAACCGCAGCGTGGCACACGCGTGGAGGAGCCGCAAAACACAAACTGGCACGGGAAGGATGAACCCACCCTCGGGACACCTGAGCCCGCCCAGCCCTGAGTGCCAACACCTGGGGCCACCCCCGTGAGGGGCAGGAGCACCTGAAGGCAGCTGAGCCCCTCATCTTGGGGGATTCCACACAGCTGCGCCCCAACCAGCGGCACCTGCGGCGCTGCCAGGGCAGGGACCCCCCGTCCTCCCCCCGCGGCCGGGCCGGCCGGGCACCCTCAGCTATTGAGCAACTCCCACCCAAACGCCGCGACCTGCCCGGCCTTTTGTCCCCGTTTCGGCCGCCCGGCGAGCGGGGCCGTGTCCGAACCGGGACCGCCCGGTGAGCGGGGCCGCGGCCTCGCCCCTCGCCCTCCCGCCGCCCCGCCGGGGGTCCCTCAGGCCGCACGGCCCGGCCTGCCCTGCCCGCCACCCCCCGGCCCGCCCCGGCCGCGCGTCCCCGGCGCTCGGAGCCACCTCAGCGCTGCCCCGGGCGCGGCCCGCGCGGCGCCCCCTCAGCCGCCCAACCCTCACCTGCGGCCGCCGCCGGCGCCACTGGCACTGTTTGGGACCCCCCGGCAATGACACCCAGCGCTCCGCGCCCGCCGCCAATCAGCGCCCGGCGGGGGCGGGCGCTCCCCCAGCGCGGCCAATGGACGGCCGCGCCGCCGGCCGGGGGGCGGGGCTCGGGGGGACGCGGAGGGAGGGGGGCGGAGCCGCCTCCTCCTGCCCCGCCCGCCGGCTTTGTTTACATCGGGGATCTCGCGAGAGCCGCCGCGCGCACGTGGGGCGGGGAGGGGGGAGGGAGGCGGGGCCGAGCCGGATTGGCGGAGTGAGCCACGCCCGAGTGACGTCATGGGGCGTGGTCAGCGCGTGAGGGGACCGTGAGGGGACCGTGAGGGGACCGTGAGGGGACCGTGAGGGGACCGTGAGGGGACCGTGAGGGGACCGTGAGGGGACCGTGAGGGGACCGTGAGGGGCAGGCTGGCGATGAGGGGATCGTGAGCGTCTCCCGGGGCTCCCTCGGGGTCCGCCAGGGCGGGAGCGGCTCGGTGGGTCCCAGTGGCTCCTGAGGGCCAGGAGCCGGTGCCGCTCAGAATTTGGGTGCTGTGGCAGCGCTGCCCCAGTGCTGGGGAAGAGAAGGCTCCGGGGAGATCTCAGAGTGCCTTGCGGTGCCTAAAGGGGCTCCCAGAGAGCTGGAGAGGAACCTGGGACAGGGATGGAGCCACACGGCACACGGGGTGGGTTCACGCTGGCAGAGGGTGGATTTAAATTGGATATTATGAAGGAATCCTTCCCTGTGAGGGTGGGCAGGCCCTGGCACAGGTTGCCCAGAGAAGCTGTGGCTGCCCCATCCCTGGGAGTGTCCAAGGCCAGGTTGGACGGGGCTCGGAGCACCCTGGGCCATGGAAGGTGTCCCTGCCATGGCAGGGGTGGCCCTGGGTGACCTTTAAGTCCCCTCCCCGCGCCCCCGGGCTGTGGGCTCTGTTCGCAGTGCCCTCGGGGTGACGCCCCTGGCCCTGCTCAGCTCGGGTTTCCAGCAGCACCAGGGGGTGCCCAGCCCCAGGAATGCACCCTGTGACCGCCTCTGCGTTCCTGAAGAATGAAAGCAGCACCCACAGAGCACCCACGGGCTTTGCACATCCTGGAGCTTTATTTCTCAAGAGAGGAGAGGGTGTGTAACTCAGGCTGGATTTACCAAAGGAGCCTCTGCTCACACACCAGGTGTAAATTGCCACGCTTGGCTGTCTCAGCTTTGATTGATGATTTCAGAGAGGCCAAGTGATAAATAGGTGGGCAAAACACACAGGAGCAAAGTGCTGCCAGGTTACAGCAGCAGGTTTGAGACCAGTGCAGAGGAGCTTGGGATGGATGGTTCATGACCACCATCCAGCAGCTTTCCTGGGAAAAACTGTAGGTTTTGCTCCGTTTATCAAAAATGGAAAAAACCCCCAAAGCTGGAGAAGGCCAAGTGTAAAAGTGGTGTGAGGGATCTTCAGAAAACGAGGCACACGTTCCTGAATGCAGCAGAGTTTGGTGAAAACTTTAACTTTGCTCCTGTATAGAGCAAAAAAACTGGGAAATTTGCTCCAGTCTTTATTCTTCAGCACCTGCACTGACAGTCACCTACCCCAGTGGTTACACTGGCTCTTTAAAAGGTTCAGTGTGGTGAGGTCAACAGGAAAATAGGTAATTAGTACCTCTTGGATTATTACCTGAAAGATTGTTGCCAGGGAAGTCCACACAGTTGCTGTGGCCTCAAACTGAGTTCCATCCTCACACAAACAGGTTCCTGCAGATCCAGTCTGCACAGGCTGCCACTTCCATCTCCCAGTCGAGCACTGCCTTCCCAGCACAGCTGAAGGAGAACTGGACATTCCCAGGAATGCAATCCCCTGGGATTTCTGTAACCACGGTAACGTGTGGAGATGGCAGGGCTGGTTCCAACCTGTGATTGTTCCAGCAGTAAAGAACTGGAGTCTGTAAATAACCATAACTTGCAATAAAGTCCTGCCCCTTTATTTCCTCATTGAAACAACATCTTCCAAAGTTCCATATTTCTCCAGTTGAGTATAAATTGCCAAGATCACTTCCATCATAAACCTGTGTGGGATGTCTTGTCTCCTGAGTGGAAAAGGGGAGAGTTTTCCAGATTTTTAACGGATACAAAACAAGCATTACTTTATTTTGGAATAATAAATTCACGTTGCACTGTTTAATAAATAACAGAACTCGTGCCTGAAATAAAAATTAAAAAATGAAAAGCGTCCCCGTCAGATTTTCATGTGTTTTATTGAGGTGAACATACACATGGTCCACAGAGGCAATGAAAAGAGTCATAAAATAATTTAAGAAGTTGTGTTGAAAGGTATTAGCAGCACCATCAGTATTGGAATACCAGAAAACACGTCTCCAAAGGGCAGTTGTGCCTGGATAAAATGCCATCATTTGGAACAGGGAGTGGGAATGGCTTTGCTGGAGATGCTCTGGGGAGTTGGGAGTTTTTAAAACACACTTTTTTTTTTTGCTAAATACTTTTGACAATCATTGTTACAAAAAATACAACTAAGTAAGATACTGCATAGTATTTTAATGAACAGAAAATCGACATGGAGGTGTGTAAAGCAAGACCCAAATCTCTGCTTCCACATACATTTCATTTCTGAGTAGAGAAATCTAAAATTTAAAACCAAAATATAGACCTAGTGTATTCTCTAAAAGACACACCTTAGGTGGAACATATTGGACTACGAAAATACATATCTCCCGTTCTGTTTAATAATTTACTTTAGTTAAAAAGTTGTGAAATTCTCCTCACAAGAAGCGTATACAAATCGATGACTTTTAGTAAGTTAACAAAAAGGATTATTTTAACTTTTTGTGTTTGGTTTTTCCTTTTTTTAAAACAAGGTTTTAAAACAATTATACAAGGAAGGAGAGAGAGAGAGACTACATTTATATGAAGGAATACAAATTTACACACATTTTACAGTGACTTTTACCCTACACATCTACAAAATTCACAGTTATAATACAAGCAAGTACGAGGCCGGGGGGGAGGGAGGGGTGTGGATAAAGCTGTCGGATACCAAAAAAAGTTCCTACTTTTTTAAAAAAACAGCGAGAGCGCCGCGCTTTGCGGATCCCAGGGGTTCCTCTGGATGCTCAGCACACGCACACGGCTTTCCTGGGCGGCTGGAAGAGCCCCGGGCTGAGCTTCTTCTGCCCGCGCAGGCTGCGCCTCATGGCCAGCTTGGCGGGGGTCCTGCGGGCCGGGCCGTCCCCCTGCGGGCCCAGCGCCCGGCCCAGCCCCCGCCGCGGCTTCTTCAGCGCCGGGCCCGAGTTGGACTCCTCCAAGGTCCTTTTAAAGTTCGCCGCGGGCGTTTTCTCCGCCTCCTGCGCTTTGGTGGGGCCAGCGGGGGACACCTTGAAGCCTTTTTGGTCCGTGCCTGAGTTGGCGGAGTGGGAAGGGGCCAGGCTGACGGCCTGGTAGGGTTCCTGGATCCGAAGAGCCAGCGCTTTGCTGCACTTCTCCTCCTGCGGGCCCGCGTCCCTCGGGGCTCCTCCAGGGACGGTGCTGCTCTTGGCAACCTCGGGTGGCAGCTCCGGGTGCTTGTCTGGGAGCCCCGTGCTGCGCAGCAGGGCAGGGACCGGCTCCGCGCTCAGCCGCGGCTCATCTTCCGACAGCTGGGGGGAAGGAAAATACACGGTCAGGCTTGACCAGAATCACAGAGTCACAGAATGGTGATCACCTTAAAGGTCATCTCGTCCCACCCCACACTTCCACCAGACCAGGTTGCTCCAAGCCCCGTCCAACCTGGCCTTGGACACTTCCAGGGACAGGCACTGTCCTCTGGGGCTGCAGACAGCGTGACAGAACTGCTCTAAACCTTAGCAGAGGCAGACAAATCCTGTCCCAAAACTGAGTTATCCTTTCTGCACCTTGAGAGGTGGAAGATGAGACTGGAGCTCTGAAACCCTGAGGGATCCATAGGCAGCTGCTGTGGATTTGGGGAGCCGTGGACAAAGCAGTGCCTGAACCCCTGTCCTCTCCTTTTCAGCAGCGTTTTCCACCACACAGACACGACCTCCCTCCTTCAGGCACCGCCACAGGGCCCTGTCCTGCCCCAGCAGCTCCATCCACCACCAGGGGCCAAACAGCAGCGAGAGGCTTCTGACCTTTGTCACACTGCGAGTCCTCAGCTGCTGCACAACCAGGTTAACAGAGAGGGACAAACTTTCTCCAGTGCCCCCACTGCCCACAGGACGGGGCAGTGACAGAGCTATTCGAAAAATGGCTTTATTGTCTCTGCTTTAGTGCAGCTCCATCCCTGCCAGCACTCCCAGCCACTCCCCAGCAGCACAGTCTGCCTCTTGGGCAGGAGCTGTTGAGGGATGTCCTGAGAACCAGGGACTTCCCACCCTCTGACCCTCCCTTCAACTCCTCTGCAGCCCCAGAGAAGTGGCTGTGCCTCATTCCCGACAGGAAAACGGGGACAAAACCAGCTCTCCCCATCCACAGGGGGATTATGAAAATCAGTGTTTATGCAGTGCCCTGAAGATATGAATTCTGACCTTATTAAAGATTTAATTGTGAAGAAATCCCTGGTTACTCCAGAGTCCTTCAAAAGTGAATTTCAAGGCCACGTTACTCCACAGTGAGTGAGAGGCAAATGACAGTCATTATTTTAAGGAAACAACGTGCTCAGAACTCCAGTGCACATACAGCTCCATCAGTCAGAGCAACACCTCAGGAGAATAAACAGATGCTTCTCAAGTCACAGCCCAGAATAACTCCATTCTCCTGCAAGGTGAGTTCCAGGGCTGCTCAGCACTTGGCAAAAACCTGATCCTGAGGTTCAGTAAAACGCCCTCCAAAAGAGAGGACAACCAGAATTGTTTCCAGCATCCACACTGGGTTTCCACTCCTCTCCACTCCTCTGTTACTTCCCACGTGTAGACAAAACCATCTGGGTAAGATTCTTTTGCTACATTTACCAACACAAGAGGGAAACCTTTAGGGATGGTGTCTCAAAGGTTATTAATCAGCTCAACTCCTCCAGGATCCCTAAGGAAGGTGGGTCACACACACAGCAGCTCTGGCAAAGCTGCTCCAGCTGCTCACTGGAATCTCTGACATTGTGTCTGCAACAACAACAACAACTTGGTTTGATGGTTTTATTGTGCAAGACCTTTAACTTATCTCCAGCATCTCCTGCCTGGTGCAAAGGGCTGAGCCTGGAGAAGGTTTTGGGAAGCCAAGGGAAGGCAGAGCATGGACTGAGGAGAGGGATGTGACCAACAGGAAAAATAAACCATCAATCACCATTTAATGTCTCAACAATCCAATCAGTCTTTATCACTGGCCCCAGGAATACTGGAATTAATTTGGTATTAGTAATTGCTGCCAGAAGGATAAGCAATTAAGAAATACTTCTGTTTAATTGAGAAACTTTGGTCTCCCATCTATTTCCAGATTAATTGTTTTGGCAGGTAGCAGCTGCCAGGAGTCAAGGCCATCCCTGCTTCCCCCACAGAAACTGGGATGGAAATTCAACAGTATTAATTAATTACCAAGCTAAATTAGATCACACATTTACCTGCAGCTTTATGTACCAAAGTGTTTCTGGTTTGTTTTGCAAATGGGTGCTGCTCTCTATGGCCACGTTTGCTGGGACCAACCAAATCACCTCCTGGGATGTTGCCCACACCCCTGGGATCCCAAAGGATCCTGGAATACAGGCACTTCCTCCATCTCCCACCACCTGCTTCCATTTCTGCAGGTTCACAGCTCACTGAACCTTCTCAGATGGAGAGGGGGAATAAAAAAACACAGAACATTCCCTGAGCCCTCATCCAGAACTGCAGGTTCCTGGACATTGTGCAGCCAGCACAGCTCAGTGATTCCTGCTAACAGTTCACACACAAACCAGATGGCACCACTGAAAATTTCAGGAGCCTTTAGAATTCCATCATTTCCCCCCTGAAGATTCTGCTGGGGTTTAACTCTCGTCATGGATCTCGACGGATGGAAGGGGAGGAGACAGAGCTGGGGTTTGCTGCTTTATGAGCAGCTCCTTTCTCCCAGGGGAACGTTGCAAACTCCCTCTCTTAATTTCTGCTTTCTTTCCCTTTGCCCAAAGGACAGTTCTCCACAGATACTGCACCACATCAAAGGACAGGGACTTCAATCAGGAGCAGCTGGGAATTACTGAGGCAAACACCCCCTCACAGCTACACTGCACTTCTTACAAGGGGAAAGAAAAGGCCACAAAACTGAACAAAATAACCTTCTGAAGGGCTCTGCTTTATGTTGATGGTTAAAACTTCCAGCCTCAAGGAAGACCTTATGTTACAAAGAACATTAAATCAACCACAGGAAGGTAATGAGATCTCCCAGCACAGAGAGAAATGTTCTTTTTATCACCATGTGCTGGTATAAATTAACCCACGAGTTACCTCAGAGGAGAAAATAAAACCCCACAGCCAAACAATCCCAAACCAAGCCCCACAGGGTCAGCACACACCCACAAGCAGCACTCTGCAAGTGCCCAGCTGTGCTGCACCCAGACATGGCAAGGCAGGGGGGAAACTGCAGCCCAACCTCGCTCCCCAAGGGGATGTGTTGGGTTTTCTCTTGTTTAAACCTCTGATTCCCAGTCTGATTTCCTTCTAACAGGCTCCCTTGGATTTTGGGGTGAATCCTGGAAAACTTACCTCTGAGAATTCACTTCAAGCTGTGTGAACTGAATGCATAAAGTTACACTAATGATTTCTTCCACACTGAGGGATCACAGATCCACAACTGCTAATAAACCATCAGCAGCCCTTCTGAGAGGTTCCTACTTTAACACCCTGCACTTGGGAGCCTTTGGTGCTCCCAAGTCTTTCAGGAACCACTGGTGAAAGCTGCCCCACTTCTCCAAAGCTCTGCACGTGGGAGTGCTGAGGATGTGGCACGGGATGTGTGAATACACATCACCTGAAATCCATCATCCAGACACACACAGTGCCTGGCCCAGACTCAAAAACACACTGCACCCACCGAAGGGCAGTGTTAAATAGTGCCTGAAATGGGGAGGTGGGGAGTTTCTAAGAGTGTTTGTTAATCCCTGCAATGGTCTGAGCACCCCACGGCCCCCGGGCCGACTGGCACTGGGTGGCACATTTGGCAGCCCTTACCTTGACAGGGGGGGTGCAGCAGCGGGAGGGGCTCGTGCTGCTGAGGTCAGGGCTGCTGTAGGAGGGCCCCTCTGCCAGGTTGAGGTACAGCTCCTCCTCCTGCTGCTCCCAGGGGCTGGGGCCGTCCCGCAGGGGGGAGATGCAGATGACGATGGCGCTCGTGTTGTCCGCCCGCAGCATCCGCTGCCTCCAGCGGCCCAGGGCGCGGCTCACCAGCATCTTGGCACACGACTGCCGGTGCTCTCCCTGCTGGGGACACGGGGGGGACACGTCAGGGCCACTGGGAGGTGGCACAGGGGCGGCACAGCCTGAGGTTTGTGCCCCCGCGAGTCGCGCGCGGCGGCAGCTCCAGGAGGAAACGCTCGTGGAAACATCTCCCTTCCAGGGACACACAGGGCTTTAAACCACGACACTGCACCAACAGCTGCCTGCAACACAATCTACAGCCCTCCCAGAGCACCTCTGGGGTTTACAGACCATTCACTGTCTGATGATCCCCTTTATAAATTCCCAGGATAGGAAGAACCCACAGGGATCATGGAGTCCGACCCTCAGCCCTGCACAGGCCCATCCCAGGGGTCACACCCCTGCCTGAGGGTGCTGTCCAAATGATCCTGGAGCTCTGGCAGCCTTGGGGCTGTGCCCACTGCCCTGTTCTTATCTGCTTATCTTTGTAAAATAAACCAGAGAAGGATTTAATTCAGTCCAAGCAACTGCATTGTGACACCAGCCCTGATGTGACACAAATTTGATTTTCAGATGGCCTTTTTTACAACTTCCTTAGAAAAAGAACACCCAAAATGGCAACCAAATAATAATAATAGTAATAAATTCAACAGTGTTAACAGACCTGGTACTTGACATCAGCCTCCAACAAGAAAGCTGTTCTAACAACTTCATGTTGTGGCAAAACTGTGAAAACGCCAAAATAACAACCCCTTTGTTGGACACTTCACGGCTCAGCCTGAGCAACTTCTAGAGGTAAAAAGTATTGAATTTCCCCTGCTCTCACCATGAAGTACTTCTTCTCCTCGTGATCCTGGCACATGGAGATGGCATCCTGGGGGGGGATCATGTTCCAGAGCCCGTCAGAGCCCAGGATGATGTATCTGTGCTTCTGGGGGTCGAGGGTGTGAACGCTCGTGTCGGGCTCGGGGGACACCACGAACTCCCCGCTGTAGAAGTCGTAGCTCCAGAGATCACCTGGCAGAGCAGAAAATGGGTTTGAGGGGTGGTTACACTGCACGTGAGAGATCTCCACCTGGGAAAATAGAGATCAGCGTTCCCAGGAAAACCATCAGCACCAGGCTGGAGTCGCCAGCAACATGAAGTAATCCCAGCAGAGCTGCTGTCACCTTCCAATCATATTTAATGTAACAAACTTCAATTAAACCACATTCAAACCCTTGTTTATAGGAGATCCTCTACTCTCTTCACCCTCGTTTTTGGGACAAGGGGAAATATCACAGATTATTACCTCAAACTTGGTGAAACCTCCATCACTGCCCAAAGGAAAACCTCCCTGAATTTATCAAGTCCTCCTTAAACAGAAGCAAGGCCTTGCTTTGCTGATCCCACAGCAAACCTGCAAATATTCCTGTGTGCAGGTGCCACAGGGAGGCAACAAAGGTAGAGGGGAAGGAGGACACTGAGCTCTCCCCTGCTCATCCTCCTTCCCGCCCCTCTTCCCTCTGCACGCCCTGCAGGGCTGCTGGAGCCTCCTTCCAGCTCAACCCCCGTGCCAAACTCCAGAGCTGGAGAGCAGCCCCAGGAACACGAGGAGTGCTGAGCTGCAGCAGGCACTGAGAGCTCCAGCCCGTCCCCAGCACGGCCTCACGCAGGGAACCTTTCTATTTTTACCCCTCCCTCTCTCCCTGTGTGAGTGAGTTTGGGGTCACCTCGGCAGCGAGGGAGCTGAGCAACACAACACTCCCTGGTTCCACTGCTCCCTCAGGAAAAACCCCCTCCAGCACCACAGTGCACTTCCACATCAACTGACTGCAGTGGCATTTACCAAGTGTACTCGAAAAAAAGTTAAACCCCTTCATTGAAATCAAGACAGAGGATAATTTGTGCTGGCTCCTTCCACTTCCAAGTTCAGAAACAACTTCCCGGAGCAATCAGCAACAAGAGGTGACTTTATTAATTGCAGGCACTGGGAACGTTCTCCCGTGCAGGACACCCAGCTTTAAAAGCAGAAATCATTTACAATGTCAGAGCTGAGCAGCAAACAGAAGCTCAACAAGTCCAGCTCAAGAGCAAGGTTGTGTCTGGCTCTTGGCTTTCTGCAGCTTCTTCCAAATCCATCACCACCCTCTTAAAGATAATAAATGAGCTTTTTTGGCTTCCTCCTTCCCTCCATTAGCTTTGCCTTAAGCTATCAGCCAGCTGAACAGACCCTGCCAGGACGAGGACAGGGAATACTTTGCTCAATTAGTGCTCTCCACCGCAGCAAGGAGGGCTGGTCCCCCCTCATTAGCGCCCCAATTCTCCTCCCCAACAAGCACACGCTGCTAATGAGCCCTAATTAACAGCCAAGCCTGCTCATCCAGAGGTGCACAGGGCCCCCCCAGACCCCAGCAAAGCCAGCTGGCAGAGAAAGGAAGGAATCCTGGAGCACAAGAGCTGCAACCCAGCAATTACTGGGTGTGAATTGCCACCCAAAGTCCTCCCATCAACCTGTCACGGGCACAGCAGGTAAACAAACAACAGCTTGGGATCACCAACCCACTCCTGGCATCGTGGCAGCACCCATCTCCAACGTGCACAATATTTTTAGGCTGCTCTTTGCTGCTTTGTTCACACCCTTTCAGGAGAAATGACAAATGTCATCCACTGAGTCGCTTTTTTAATTAAAATGCTGGGCTGGATGATAAAAATAACCTGCTGCTCTTGCATTTGGGTTCATGTATGAACATGTCAGCGTGTCCATCTGCTGCTCTTCCTGAGCAAACTGCCAAGTAATCACCAGGCTGATTCCAGGGGACCTTCTCCAAGGGGAAGAAGGCTCCTCCCAGGGATAACTGGGAATATCACAGGGCTTATAAGGAGCAAATACACAATAATTTATTCCCAAAGCCCAATCAGGAATCAACTGACCAACCCCACTGGTCAGGAGCTACTGGAAGCTCAGAAGAGCCCCAGGAGTCACAAACTGAAAAAATAAAGCTTTTATTCCTTAACCCAGCAGCAATTCCATAAGGAATACTTGCAGCCTGAGCAGCTTGTGATGGCTCCTGAAGAGCAGGGAGAAGTCTCTGGTGCTCCCTGAACCTGCAGAATTCCCGGCAGGAGGAGCTGCCTCGGGATGCTTCACTCAGGGAGGGGCTCTCAGGCCCCCCCAAGGGGAGGGACACTCATTTTGTGTTTCTTTTCCCCCACAGGGCAGGGCAGCACAAAAAAACCTCAAAATGTTATTAATGTGGTTCCTTCTGCATCTCCCAGGACAGTCACCTGTGCATTCTCTCTCATGTGCTCAGTGATAACATAAAATACACCAAAAAAAACACTTGCAGCTCAGCTGGTGCCAGGGAGGCAGCTGAAGGCCCAAACAAAGCCACCCCTGCTGTCAGTGGGATGCCCTGGGTTAAACCCAAAGCCTTCTCACAGCAGGGCATGTCCACAAGGCACACAGACCAGGCCTTTCATTCCTGTTGTCAGGAGATGCTGCTTTGCAGACAAAATACAAAAATAGCTTTTGGTTTTAATAGAGGAAGGAAAAGTTTACTTTTTTTTTGTAAGTGGGTCCAAAGCAAAAACTCGGTTTGATTAATCCCAGAGCTTTTCAAAGCCAGGTTTTACCTGACAGGGCTGAACCCACTCAAAGCTGCAGGTCTTGGCTCCACAGAAGATCCCAAGGAAAGGGGAGGAGGACAGGGAAAAGAAAGTCTATAAAATATTTACTGGATTTAGAGCTGAGCTAATTTACCAACAGGAGAGATCCCTCATGAGTTAAAAAGCCCTTTAAAAGCCTCATTTCTGCCACCACAGTGTTACCAGTGGACTCCCCCAGGCTGGGGGATATGAACTTAAAACAGCAGCTCAGGAAAACCACAATGACTTTAAGCTGCACTCGCAGGAACCTCCAAAGCCCAGCCATTCATCACCCTGGCTGTCCCCTCCTTTCTACACTTGCTGCTTGTTTCAAGTTCTAGAAGGCACAGAAAACCTCCTGTATCCAGCAAAAGCAGCCCAAAGGTACTTCCCAGAGCCAGGAGGAAGCCCAAATATTTCTGCCTTGTTCTGGGGCTATAAATAAATTAAACATCATTTAAATACTTTGATACAGCCACTGTGCATTCCACAAATGCTCATTTTAGGGCAGAAGGGCACTTGTGACAATCAGAACAGGACAGGGGATGTCAACAGAGTTCATGTGGCCAGAAGGATTTCTCTTAGGCCAGGTGTTCCCATTTCTTGGACCTGAAACTCTCCTTCAGCCTTCTCCTGAATCCTCTCTTCATCCACTGAACAAATGCACTGAATTCCCACCTGCACCCAAAATGATTGGCCTTCTGTGATGAGATTTAAGGGAAAAATAACCAGCAGACACCGACACTCAAGGGTAAGAGGCATCCAGTGGTTCAGTTGTGAAGCACTTCCCAAAACCCATTCATCAGTAGTTTCCCAGCACTGCAAGATGCCTTTTTGCCCTTGGAATAAGGTGTTTCTCAAAGACAGCTCCCCATTATTAGTGCTCCCACAAAGGCAAGTTACAGACAAAACACAAGACTTGACTTTCATCCCATTCTGTGCTAAGTGTTAAAGAAAAAAAAAGAGTCCCCACAAAAGGCAGACTGAATTCATGTGCCATCCAGCAACACCAGGCAAAAATCCCAGCCCTATTATCTCAGCAAGAACAGGACCAGGGTGCTGCTCATCCATTTCCATCCGCACCAGAGATCCCTGTAAGGCTGACACTGAAACCCCTGAAAGCCGCAGGGCGGGTTCTTCTCTCCCCGACGCCGCCTTTTACAGATTCCAAACAAAAATACACCCAGCTTGTATTAAAGATATATTTAAAAGGCCCAGACTTGCCAGAAGGCAGTGATGAAGCCCCTCAGAGCCCATGCAGGCTGGGAGCTGCCCCCTGCTCCCAGCACAGCACTCACCCAGCGCTCTGGCCACGGCCAGGAAGGGGATCTGGTCGATGACGGTGCTGCGGCGCACGGGGCCGTTGTGGCTCAGCCGGGGCCTCTTCCACACCACGCGGTTCACTCCGGACTTGTTGATCACGCTGGAACCACCAGAGACAGGCACATGTCAGCCAGGACAGGGAATGGGAGCAAAAGGAGACAAAGCCAGTTAAATATGTAAATCCGGGGGCAGTAATGACAACACCCCCTCAGGGCAGTCCAGGCACAGCCCAGTGTTTCAAAACATCCCTCAGAGCTTGATTCCATGGTAAGCCAAAGGGAGAAGCGAGAGGTGAAGGGCAGAGGAAAATAAAAAGCAGGGGAATGAAGAATTGGACGAAATTCTTTGTCAGAGAAAGAAGAGAACTGAATTTGCTGCCCTCATCAACACCAGCTCACTCAGGTGGAAATACCGTGGGGTTCCTCCTCCAGTTTTCTCCATCTCCAGAGTCTGGCACTGAAGAGCAGCACAGCACAGTGGGAACAAGAGAAGAGAAAGGAGCAGCCTGCTGCAGGGATTCCCCTGCAGACACAAAAGAGGAATTGTTCCCAGTTGCTGTCTGCTGGAAGCAGGAGAAGGGAGGAATCAGCTCTGCATTTGCATGTGAGCACCTGCTCTGAGGCACCGAGCTGCTCTGGCTCTCCCAGATGGCACTGAGGGGTCAAAGAAGCTGCAGAGCAGATAACTGGGGCAGCTGTATGGGCAGGGAAGAAAGGACAGTGCATGAACCACCAAGGAATAAGAGCCAATAAGCCAGGAGCTAGCAAAGCTTGGTCCCAACCAAGTTAAGAACCAGATACTTGCAAGTTCCTTTTATCCAAGGAACAGCCATTGGTAATTAGAAACTGAGCAGCTCTGGAACAGCCTCAAGATTCCTCATACTGAAGCCATTCACGATGCACTTCCTGAGACTTCAAAGGCCTTAACAACAAGGGCATGTTGAGCTCCATGCACAGCACGGCAAAGTCACAACCACCACATCCTAAAAACTGATCTCACCCCCTGGTCCAACTAATGACCACACAAAGCTCACTTCAGTCATCAGCTGAAAGAAAACCTCATCCCACACTCAGACTGTTACCAGGAAAATCTCCTTGTAATGGAAGATTCAATTATGCTCTGCCCTTAACTGTTCCCAGTTTGCTCTCATCAAAGAGGAGACATCACCAGGCACAGCTGCAAAGTTCCACCTCACTCCTACAATTTGTCCCACAGCCAGCCTGGGAAAAACAGGAGGAGCCCCAGGAAAAATAAAGGACTAAATAAAAAAAAAAAAAAAACCAAACAAATTGAGCGTTCCTGTAGATACAAAATTTCAGGGAATGCTGCTCTGAAGCTTCAGAGACTTTCAGGCTCTGAAATACAACTCAGAGATCTCCACAGGTACTAACGCAGCAAAACCGCAGGTTCTCCCTTCTGCAAAGCCACCTGCTCGAGTCCCAGCTGCCAGAGACACAAATGTCTGAAGGTCCATGGGCTGACAGGGCTCTCAGATCAGTGATGTCAACAGGAAAGCCTTCAGAGAGCCCAGCTCTGGGAAGGAAGCCGTGCCCACCCATCTGCCGCGGGCACGCCGAGCTCCGCTGAAGCTCCGCCAACCACGAGCCCTGAGCTTTGTGCCCAAACATTTGTGCCACCTGACAGCCCTGCCTGCTTCCCCCTCACCCCCAGGGGACACAAACAGCCCCCCCAGCTCGGGGGTTCCAGCCTCTGCCAGCTCAGGAGCGGCTCCTGCACAGCCCCGGTGTTCCAACGTTGACAGGGGCTGTTCAGGCACAGCAAACGCAGGATTTGGTTTCAGATCTAACCTTTATATTCTTTTTTCATGTTCCCTAAGCAGAAGCTTTGAGGAGCCTACTCAACAGCTGCCATCTCAGGAACAATGCAGAATGCCTGAGAAATGAGAGTGGTTTGTGTCAAACTTGGACAAAACTGGGCATTCCGGACCTCGTATCATTTTACTTTTGTGCCGAGGTAATTTTCCTTATCTGCAAAGATAATTCTCCCAACCCCAGATTTCTCCGAATTTAACGAAAAATAGGTCAAATATCACCATCTCCGCTTTCAAAGTGCTGGGTGAACACATAGAACTGTAAGCACACCTCAGCTGGGTGATCCACCAGGGAATTAAAATTCTGTGTACGCCACAAACCACTACCAAAAAACCCAACCATGTAACAGTGGGTCACTGTAACATCTTCCCCAACAAGCTATAAAAAACCCAGAGGACAACAGAAACACACAGTGAGATTCAGCTCCTTGCATGACCCCCCCCCAAAAACCAAGCTCAAGCTGAGCTCAGTCAGAGCAGACACACTTACCTGCCCCCCAGGCCTTCGATTCTCTCCCTCTCCTTGGGCAGCTCCGGCTTGTGGTCCTGTGTGACCTCCACAGCTCTCACAAAGTCGTCCTTGGGGTCATCCTGGACCCCCAGCACCACCCCCGAGTCGCCCACGTGTGCCACGTACATCTTGGAGCCTCGGATGATCACCACGCTCGCCGTCGTGCCCGACGTGCTGGGCAGCCCCGTCATGGTCTTGGGCCACTCTGCTGCAGTGACAGAAAACAGGCCAAGAAGAGGGCACGTTCTTAATTCTCTGGAGCTGGGAATGCCTTGAAGGTCAGGAGGAAGGGTGTGCCAGAGCCTTGTGTCATGTCACAACACAGCCTGAGCTCAACTGCAGCGCAGCCAGGCCGAGCTGTGCCCCCAGCCCACCCCCACTCCCTTCACAGCACCTGTAGCTACAGCTTAAATTGACACAAATGTAGAGACAGAGCCACCACCAAAGCACCAGGACAGGATGCAAAACATTGGCTCCTCTGGTTTAATGCTCCAAGCACCACCAGGAGAACCTGGGGGAAGCTGTGCTCCTTGAGCAGGACCCAGTGAATGCTTCATCAGGACTGTTCAGAGATGCTCTCCTTAACCCAACATCCAACTTCCACAGGAGATACCCCTTGAAACCAGAGCAACAACATCCCTATGTTGCTATCAGCTACACATGGTTAGGGAATCCTCCTTCTTTCTCAACTGCTTTGCCCTCAAACCACTGACATTAAACTTCCTATTGCACCGCTCTCCCCATTTACATTCAATCCAAATTTCCCTTTCACGCCTTTTCTATTTTTTACATCTACAAAAGCTCCTCTTCTTCCAAACCTCCACAGAGACATCCCCGTTCAGACAAGTTCAGCTAAAGCACCTCCTCCCCACTCCAGTACCCACCGAAATCCCCACTCCACTTCCCAGCCATCACTTGATTTCAACTGTCAACAGCAACCTCCTGTTTCTCCTTCACTGCACCCACTCATGTCTCCAGACAAACTCCACGGGGAGATTCATCTCCTGCACTTCACAAGTCAGGCTCACACAGCACAAGGCAGGAATTCCACCCTGTCTGCAGGAAACACCCCAGCCAGGCTGCCAGAGCACCGGGTTCTTGGCTTTCCTGGGGCACAGCAAGCAGAGCAGGAATAAACACAGGAGAAAAGAAGAATTAAACCCAGTGACACCTTCCCCTCTGGGAAGATCCACATTTTAAACTTCAACAGTTTTCCAGCAGTACCAAAAAATGAGGAATTGGAGCTCCAGTACTACTGAGGAAAAAGTGCTGAGGGAGAGGCAGAATTTATAGGCGGGATGAAGATAAAAGCTGCACTTCCTCGGTGTGAGCCACCGAGACATCCAGCACTATTCAAACACTGGAGCTCTAACAGCGTTCCAGCTTTGTGTCCTAAACACCAAACCACACTTTCTCCCCCAGAGTAGCTTTATTTCAGGAACACAGCCATTCAATCAGCTTATTGGAAGCAATTTTAACTGTGGATATTAAATGCAACACATTCCAAATGGCAGGCGAACAAGGGAGGAAGCCAAGTGGTAACGAGGACTTCAACCATGCACTTAACAGAAAACAAGCTGCAACTAATGAGTTTGTGTCAGTGTAACAACCCCTCACCAGCAATAAAAGCCATCAGAGACTCAAATCAGTCTTTATGGGCACGAGGAGACGGAGAGGGAAATCACCCACTTGTGAGAGGAAGACTGATAGATAGAGCAGCCTCAGATTTTGGGCTCAACACAACCAGATGTGATCTGCTCCTCAGCAAAAGGGCTGCAGTTCCTGCCTGGCTCCTGCTCACAGATAACTCTTAGACCCAGCACAGTTCTCTCTTAGGGCATCCAGAAATCAGCAGAAGCACCAAAACCTCTGAGTTTTCTTCTGAGCTCAAGTATCAGAATTGAAGCCACTCACCCACCTCCAGCAGGTACCAGGAGCGTGTCTTCAGCAATCCTGTAACCTGAGCAACATCATCTTCCTACAACAATTGTCCCCTCGACTTGAAAATCACCACCCTTCGCTCAGCCTTCTAACTCTGAGCTCATAAACTCATAAACTGGATTTGTAGCTTCCAATATGAACCTTTACTCCAGAAGCCCTTTAGTACAAATTTTTACTACTATGGAATTAATGCCAAAAAAAATTATCAGCAGTGCCTAAGGGGTATTTTTTCTGTTTTAATTGTTTCTGGTACTCTCACAATCTGTATGTTTTGTGTCTGTCCCAGGAGATGCAGGGGATGATCCCAGAGCTTCCAACAACCAACAGAGCAGCTGAGTGCTGGCTTCTCTTCCAGCTGGAAGCAGCGAAGCCTCCATCCTCCACACCACAATTCCAAACTCCTCTTTGACTTTCCAGAATACCCAGTCTCCATTTCACGCCCACAGTGTCACCTACACACGGTTAAAGATCTGCTGCACATGTGATAACATGGAAAATTATTTCCTGTAAGTAAAATTCACCCTGGGATCCCTGAACACAGTATGACAAATGATAAACCAGAGATAATAATAATAATAATAATGTCCCACAGAACTCGGGTTGTTCCACACGTGCAGCAGAAACCAGCAAGGCCAATCATAGTCTGGAGTTGACAAAACACCTCGAACTGTCATCAAACACTCACAGCCAGAGCGATGTTGTTCCTCACAACAATTTAAATTGCTTCCACAGCCCCGGTGGTGATTGCTAAACACTCCCTACCCAAACAAGGCCTCCTGCACTCTGGCACTTCACCTCTCTGCCTTGGGTGCTCTCAGAGTCCACAGCTCGAAAACTGAACTCCTTATCTTCCCCCCCACGCCACCTTCCCCTGCTCACACATCTCCCCCCTTATCACCCAGCTCTGCAGCCCAGGAGGGCACCCACCCCACCATCAGGGCTGGGGGCAGGTTCTGCTGCTCACACCCTTTCCTCTCCCCAGAGTGCCCTCGGCCTCGCTATCCTCATATCTGACACTTGCACAACTTCTCCATTTTGCTGTTCAAGAAAAAGGAAAACGAAACTCTTTTGACATCATAATCCCCCCCACCCCCTGAATCACTTCACTGAAATCCCCCAGGGGTGCTCGCAGTGCAGTTCTTGCTTTTCAGGTTTCCCTCCCAGGCCAGCTGTCACGATGTCCCTGTGCTTTGGGTCCGATTTTCCTGGGCTCCAACACCTTCCTGTCCTCACTGCTCTTGTATTTTCAGTTTCTGAGGCTTCTGAACACATAAATCCATACACAGTCCACACAATACTCTACACATCGTATATAAACAATCACCATGCTCTGAGGCATAACCCTCATCTCACCAAGAAAAAAAAAAACCTTTCAGAAACCCAGGGAGAAGGAAGAGCACAGGAATGATGACTGTCACCTGTCTGGGCACTGTCTCTCCTTTACCCTTCCTTATTTAGGATCCCTGCAGTTATTCTATCGTCCTGCAGTTAAGCAAACAATACACAGAATATTCAGGATACTGAGTGTGTTTTCTGCTCTGGCAGTGACCCTGCATAACCCCCGATGCCCACAAAACACCACCAGCCACATTTCAATCCTTCCATCAGGACTCACAAAAACAACTGGAAACACACTTAGGGAAAAAACACCATCCCGGCCCGGTTTGTTAAAATTAATTTTTTTTAAATTATCCAAGGGAAATCTAAGCGGGAGTTCAGCGCAATTCCCCAGGGCAACAAGGCGAAGACCTCCAAATAAATCCGGTTCGGAGATCCGACCCGCAACAACGCCGTAGAACAAACCGCAGCTCTCCCACCACACCATTCCCAGCCACACAACAGCGCGTCCTCACCGCCCTGTGTTTACATCTTCGCTCTCGCAGCCCGCGCTCCAGTTTTCCTTGTTCGCTCGCGTCGAGACCTCCAATCCCACCCCGCGTTCTCCCCATTCCCGGCACAGGGGCAGCGATGGCAGGGAGGGAAGGGAAGGGGGCAGCGATGGTAACTCACAATAGTGCGGGGGGGGAAGGAAAAGGCGGCTGAGGACGCGGAGCAGCGCAGGGGGAAGCGGGGGGCGATGGCGGGGCAGGTTCTCCCGCGGCAGGGAGCGCGGGGTGCGGGACTTACGCAGCTTTTTCCACATGGCGCGGTGGCAGGCGATGAAGCCCTTGCGCAGGGCCGCGCACACCTCGGCCGGCTCGGCCGAGCCGAAGCCCTTCTGCTTCTTGATGAAGCCCCACAGGTTCTCCCGGGCGAACTGGGCCGCCTCCCGCCCGCCGTGCCCGTCGCACACGGCGAAGAAGGCGACGGAGCGGCGGGGCCGCCGCCCGGGGCCGCTGCCGGGGGGCTGCGCGCCGTCCTCGGCCGCCCGCGGGGTCCCCCCCCGGCGCCGCCCGCCCTCGGCCGGGGGCTCGGCGGCGCCGGGGCCTGCGGGCGCCGCTCCGCCTTTGTGCGGCCCTGGCGGCGGCTCGGGCTCCACCACGATGTGGGTCACGTCCTCCATGTATTTCCTGCCGCCCTGGTCCGAGAACACGCTCACCCCCAGCGCGTACGGCCCCTCCATGGGGAGGAGGAGGAGGAGGGGGGAAGGAGGAGGAGGGGGCAGCTCGCCCGCCGCTCCCCGCCCAGCGCCGCCGACAGCGAGGACTACTGCGGGCGTCCCCGGGGCCGCCCGGGCATGTCCGCGGCGCCTCCCGCAGCCTCCCGGGGCCGCTCCCGCCGCGCTCCCTCCGCCCGCCGGAACGGGAACGGCGCCGGCAGCGCCAACGGGCCGGGCCAGCGCCCCCTGCGGGCCCCGCCCGGCACCGCCGCGGCGGAAGGGGCGGCGGGCGCGGCCGCGGCCACGCAGCGCCCCCAGCGGCGGGAGCGGGGACAGCTCGCTCCAGGACTCCAGTGTTACTCCGGCCCCAATCTTTGCCTGCTGTAGGAACCCCTCTGTTACTCAGCCCTCACTCTCCCCTTCCCTGCTCCAGGAATCCCTGGAGTTACTCAGACCCCCCTCCATCTTTCCCTGCTCCGGGATGCCCTGGGTGTTGCTCAGGCTCCGAATCTTTCCCTGCTCCAGCAAGCCCAGCATGAGATCCTTCCCTGCTCTAGGAATCCCTGAATGTCACTCAGCCTCCCTATCTTTCCCTGATCCAGAAGGTAATCCAGCATTATCCCAGCCCCTCCATCTTTCCCTGCTCCTGGCTGAAATCCCAGCTCTCCCGTTTGGGCAGTGATCCCCCTGGAATTTACACACCCACGGGACGTGCACGGTTTACACTCACGACTATTTAAGACGTTCCCTTCACCCAGGAGGGGTTTGTGCATTTGGGTTTTAGAGCTGAAATTCCAGACACTGTTTTACTTCCAACTCCCAGAGCCCCTTCCCACTACAGCGAAAAACCACCATGGAATTTTGCAAAAATACCTCCACAGAGATAATTGTTCAGCTTAAGAACTGCAAGGCCTTTGGATTTCCTTCCCTCGACCACATTAAAGCCAACAGTATTTGGAAAAATAAGAAATACATCAACAAAGCTTTGGATTCCGGGAGCTCCCAGGGATTTGCAAGCCTGCTACAACCATTAATGAATTAATCCCCACTAATCCAATAAGATAACGAGCCCTTCCTACTTTCCAGGTGTTTATACCATCAGATCAATCACCAGATCAGCAGCCCAAGATAGAATTGCTTTAAAAACCGGACCATTAAGTTTCATAACAGTATTTTAGATAAGTCTATTGGGCATTTCAACGGCGTGGAAAGGAGATAAAGATTAATTTGAGCTCTACACAATCCCAAACACCTCAAGGTATCACTATTCCCCTTTTAATTAACAAATAAAACACGGGCATCAATTGCCAGGCCTGCAGCAGATCTATCACCATCCGCATCACAGCCCACACAAAAGGGGGGGAATAAATATTTTACAGTTACTTTTTAGTACAAAATAGCCAGGAAATGAGGAAACCGACTTAAAACCATTGTCCAAAAAATGGCAAAATAGCATTGTCACATCTGTGTCATCACAGGGACAGCTGGAGCCCATTGCTTCCCAAAAGGGCACTGTCCCTATGTCATAGCCGGGTGATTGTGGGCAGGGGTGTTGTCATGGATTAGTCCCATTCAACACAGGTGATGCTTTCCCAAACAATTTAGAGCGGAAAATCACAAGCTCCTCCAGGAATAGAACCACACAGACGGACTCCCAGCCCTGTGCCCGGTGTAAACACACTCTGGGGAGTCTGGCATTTGTAAAATTAAGGAAACAAAGGGGAAAAAAATAGTTATGGTGGAAGAAACTCCTCTTCAAACCCCAAGGTATTTCTGTCTTTTTATATCCAAGTATCGCTTTTGCCTTTCCAAGTGGCAAAGTGCCTCGTTTCTGTCAATGCTTCTACAATCAAGGCCGTGGCAGCGGGTATAAATCATACCTACACTCACACATTTAATCAAATTACAATACATTAAAGATGTTTCTGCCTGCAACAACTGCCTTCCCCAACCCAAGTTGCTGGAAACCCCAAGTGCTTCAAGATTTACAGGGCACACGAACCCAGCAGATCCCCCCGGCAACTCAAACCACATTTCCTGGTTTTCCTCTGAAGTCCTTCAGCTCACAAAATAAAACCAAACCCCGTCAGCTAAACCAGACCCTCACAGAAACAGGGGGCACGGAAAAGTTGGAAGATGCAGGGAGGAAAAAAAAAAAATCTGCTGCCGAAGGTGAAGTTTGATGCAGGGAGAAGAACTTTTAATAAAGTTGGGGAGTTCTTCTCTTGGGTTTGTACCTAAAGGAAGCAAATGCTAAGCAGAAACTGCCCGTGGCCCCTCAGCTCTTAAACACCCAACTCAGATTAAACAGCTCACAGTTAAAAGCGTCTTTTATATGAGTAAAAATCATTTCACATAAAGTGTTTCTAAGCCAAACACAGCCAGGTGATTGGTTATTTCTCATTTTGGCTAACAGTTGCTGAAATAAATGCATCCCAGAGTGGCTGTACAAGCGTTATTCTTTCTTACTCTGGTTCAACTAATCCAAATAATTTCTCAAAAGTAAAGGCCACGACTTCTTTTGTGGATGGAAAATTTCAGTTTTTCTTTTAACTGGAGGGTTTTGCTTTTTTAAAATTTGTCAAATAGGCTTAAACTTCAATTAAATTAGCTACATTTCTCACTGCATCATTCCTTCCCCTCAGTTGCATCAGCCAATAAACGAAATTAAGAAAGGGACATTCAAATTCATCCTGATTAAACATCACAAGTTCTGGGTGGCCACATGAGGAGTTCACACCTCTGGGTCTGATGGATCATCTCCACATTCCCTGAGGGCATTGCCTTTCACATCTCAGCCACAACGGGGCTCCTGAACTGATGCATGTGAAAAACAAGAACGAAAATGTATTTATCTGGGTTGCAGTAAACATGAAAGGAAAGGCAAAGAGGAAAAAAAAAAAAAAGAAAAATCATTAAAAAAAGATCTGACAAGTTCATGTGGATGCTCTGCATTTAGCTCTTGTTTTAGAGCAACAGTCTGTTATGTTGGCTCCTCTACAGTTTAATGATTTCCTGTTAAGAATTTAAAATTAGAAGCCTCCAACAACTTCCCCATAAACTATTTTCAAGGTTCCTTTAATATCCACATCAAGGAGATATAGTAGGTTCATATGTTATCCATGTCACTTCGCTTCCTTCCCACTTCAAAATAAGCACATTGCAGGCAAATTCAGCAGGTTTTTATTGTCTGCTTAGAACCCTTTTTTCCCCACTAACCATGCCCAGCTACAGTAATTAAAAAAATAAAGCTGTTCACATCCACAGGCTCCCATTTAAACCGTGACAAAGCAAGAACTGCTGGTCTAATGTGAAAAGCCCCAATCTGTGCCAAGATTATGATCCCAAATCCTGATTTTCCCATTGATGAGTTCGCTCCAGTTTTCAACTACAGCCACAGTGAAGTTCATCTTTGTCACCACATCCGTTTCACAGACACGTTTTTGCTCTTTGACAGCCATCTTACCTTTGGGGAAAACATGCAAACAACACTCTGGCACTGGCAGCACATGAAACACATTCCATGTTTTTCATCCAGGCTTCCTAAAGTATAGTCCTTAAAGGGAAAAAAAAAAAAAAACAACACAGTATTTATTTATTTAGCAATAATTGCAGTAGTTATACTACTGCACCACATTTATGAAATTATTTGAGATAGACAAATAAAAGGCAGAGCTCTAAGCAAGGTACAGGTCCTAATTTGGCTGAAAGATAAATCTGCAGGCACAACTTAAAAAAAAAAAAAAAAAAAAAAAAAACAAAGGAACAAAAAAACCCCAAAACCTCTTTTCAGTTTGCAGCTCAGCCACAGAGACAATAAACTGTAAGACAAAGACAATGCTGTTCTTTCTGCAGTAATTTTCAGACCAAATTGGCTTGTTAGTCATCAAACTATTGTTTCACAAACAGATTTGGGAAAGAATCACAGAATGGTTTGGGTTGGGAGTGACCTTAAAGCCCATCCAGTTCCCACCCCCTGCCACGGGCAGGGACACCTTCCACTATCCCAGGTTGCTCCAACCTGGCCTTGGACACTCCCAGGGATGGGGCAGCCACAGCTTCTCTGGGCAACCTGTGCCAGGGCCTGCCCACCCTCCCAGGGAAGGATTAATCCCAATATCCCATCTGTCCCTGCCCTCTGGCAGTGGGAAGCCATTCCCCTTGTCCTGTCACCCCAGGCCCTTGAGAAAAGTCTCTCTCCATCTTTCCTGCAGCTCCCTCAGGCACTGCAAGGCCACACTCAGGTCATCCTAAACCTTCTCTTCCCCAGGCTGAACAATCCCAGCTCCCTCAGCCTTTCATGGGAACAACCCCCTCCAGCACAGGTGACCTTCAGCAACTCCCTGCTGTCCAGGAACAGTAGCTCAGCACCCATATCTGGATGGGATTTTAGGGCTTTTTAAGGATTTTGAGGTTTGAGGGGGAGCAGAACAGCGTCAGACTCCAACCACAGTCTGCTGAAACAGCACAACCATCTCTGCAGATGTGAAATCTCTTCCATACGAGCTCTGACAACCAAGGCCTTGTTTGATCTCCGGGGGCAGGTTTGGTTCCTTCTTTTTACAATTTGAAGGCTGTGATGAGATTTTCTTTATACATTTACCCATCCCGAGGCTCGTGGGCCTGCCCTTCCCCTCCGATGACACACAGATGTCCCTCCAGACGCCGGACACGTGAGGGGTTCAGAGACCCATCTGCATCTTCAAAAGCTCAGATTGCAGCAGACAGACAGACAGACACACAGACTGAGGGCTCTGCCCTCACCCCTCACCACGCTCTGCCTGCAGGCACGGTCTGGGAACGTCCTTCAAACATTTCCCTGCGTAAAGGAGACAAAAGAAAAGAGAGAGGATCCCAACAAAGATAAGAGTATCCATCAGAACCTCTGCCAGCAAGCACTGGAGTCAGAGGGATTTTCCAACATCTGCAATTATTAATGAGCTACTGCACTAAAAGAGTTTGCTGATGTGAAAAGGCACGTCATTGCATGGAGCCACTTTGCTAATAAGTTCCCAATGCAGATTAAGGAATTAAAAAAAAAAAATCATTAAACAAACAGGATAACTCCTAAGTTTAAAGATATTCAGAGGACTAATAAATTATTTAATAAAATAGATTTTGTAGGTCAGTTTTGCTGCTAAATGTGTTGCTTTGATGGTTACCTCCTATCTCAACATTAAACACATACACTGAACTAACTTCACCAACTAATAACACCTTTAAAGCAAAATAAATATTTAATAAAGGAGAGCACCACGCTGCTCAACACACAAATATACTAAATCACAGAGTATTAATAAATAACAAAAGCTTCTATATTTAAATTCTATTTCTACCTAGAGATTAAATCACTTTTGCCATGAAGATTATTCTTCAGGCTCTACCACAATGAATTGCAGCCTGAATACATAACGTGCTCCAGAGAAAGTTAATACAACATCCTTCTTTCACAGATACATTTATTTCTTCTCCTGAAACATGCACACTATAGTTTTGTCTACAAAAAAATTACCAGGCAGTAAAAGGTGTAGCCTAGCTTATTTTTCAAAACTTAGTAATTTATCAAGAAGATAAAGCCCATTGCCACAATGCTTGAAAAGTATATTTACCTTAGTTATTATTTTTAGAAAATGTATTAGACCCATAACTTTAAAGAAAAGAAAAAAAAAAAGGAGAGCATTATGAGTTAAAGAATTAATATTTTTAATGTATTACCAATATTTTTTCCTTCATGCACTGAAAAACTTGCACCCTCCTAACAGGTCCCCAGCCTTCCCAAACTGGCCCTCCCAAAATAACTGGGATAAGTAGCCTCTCCTGGGGGGCACTAATTGCCAACAGAAACCAGCTGTACTCCCTCAACTGAAATAAATTCATACAATTTCAGAAAATGAGAGAAAAAAACCCATAAAGCCACCAGTAGGAAAAGCTGAAGGAAAAAGAGGACAAAGCAACGTCCCATGGTCTGTTTATGTGGCATTCCTTTCTTCCCACCCCACAACATTTCTCTCTGCAAGTAAAGGACAGAGAATAATGTCCTCTCACAAAATGGGAGGAACAGCAACAATTTAGGATTATTAAAAATAACGTCCCCAAAGTGCAGAAGCTCTGCCTCCTATAATTTTTAAGATAAACCCCCCAACAACAAGTCCCAGTAGCAGTCCTACATTAGCCAAGAAAACCAAATTAAGACTGGACAGAAGGAGAAGTATTTCCCAGTATAGTCAGTGCACCAAGTGTTTGGGGTTTTTGTATCCACGAGTTTGAAAAATGCCAAACATTTAACTCTGAATAAGAGTTTTGTTCAGGACCACACTAGAGCAGTCACACTTGAGTGATACCAGCTTGGTGAGACAATTAAATCTACACCAAGTAGTAACCTCAGAGTCCTTGCCTGTGCTGCACTGGGGTAGTTAAATCACTGACTGCTCAGGGTGAGTCTCATTTAGACCAAATGACTTAAAAATCCCCCACCTGTGTTTAGGAACCATCCAGTACGTTCCTAGTGGTGTGTGTGAGCCCTGCATGGAACACAAATTGGGAAGAAAAACATGCCTTAAAGAGCTTGCTGAGGATAACGAGATACTGATAAAATACAGAGGCACTCCCACGTGGGGTCACAGGGCTCACTTAGGGAGGAAAAGGGTGTTTTTACCACATGGCAGCCCAGAAGGAACACCAGAGAAGTCAGAAGCGTGTCGGGTTCAACAGCAAACCTCCTCAAATACCGGTGCCCAAATATTGCTCACAGGAGCTGCCAACACACCTGGAAGTCACAAAAGGTCCAGTATCAGCTGTGTCTTAGCACAGGTGAGCTGCAAATAACAATATTTACACTCTAAAAAGGTTTAGGCTGGATGGGCCCCGGAGCTCGGTGGGAGGGGGATGTTCATTAGGGCGGGATCTCAGGGGCACCTGGAGCAGAAGCCTTGACTGCATCCAGGTGGGTTTGGAATGTCTCTGGAGAGGGAGAATACACGCCCTCCCTGGGCACCTGTTCCGGTGCTCGGCCACCCCCTCCACGTAGAGAAGTCCTTCCTCGTGCAGAGCTGAAATTTCTTGTGTTTTCAGTTTGTGGCCGTTGCTCCTCGGTCCTGTCGCTGGGCACCGCTGAAAGGAGCCTGGCACCATCCTCCGACGCCCACCTTGGGGATATTTAACGTGCACTGATGAGATCCGCTCAGCCTTCTCTTCTCCAGACCAACCAGGCCCAGCTCCTGCTCTTTCTGCCCATCGGGGAGAGCTCCAGACCCTCCGTTCTCGGCACTGCTCCCTCACGTTCCCCTCAGCCCCGCGGCGCTTCCCTCGCGCCTCCCTCACCAATGCCCCGTTACCGCCCCGGCCGCTGCCGCCCGCCCGCGCCCCGGCAGGGCTGAGGGAGCCCGGGAGCCCCCCGGGACAGCCCGGGGCGTGAGGGGGAACGGGCAGGGGGACGAGAGCCCCGGGGCGTGAGGGGGAACGGGCAGGGGGACGAGAGCCCCGGGGCGTGAGGGGGAACGGGCAGGGGGACGAGAGCCCCGGGGCGTGAGGGGGAACGGGCAGGGCTGCGGGAGTCCCGGGGCGTGAGGGGGAACGGGCAGGGGGACGAGAGCCCCGGGGCGTGAGGGGGAACGGGCAGGGGGACGAGAGCCCCGGGGCGTGAGGGGGAACGGGCAGGGGGACGAGAGCCCCGGGGCGTGAGGGGAACAGGCAGGGCTGCGGGAGTCCCGGGGCGTGAGGGGGAACGGGCAGGGGGACGAGAGCCCCGGGGCGTGAGGGGGAACGGGCAGGACGTGGCGGGAGCCCGGGACGGGAGGAGGGCAGGGCTGAGGGAGCCCGGGAGTCCCGGGCCGTGAGGAGAACCAGGCGGGAAGAGGGACGAGAGCTCCGGGCCGTGAGGAGAAGCAGGCGGGCAGGGGGACGAGAGCCCCGGGGCGCGAGGCGGAGCGGGCGGGTAGATGGACGAGAGCCGCCCCGGGGCGTGAGGGGGAACGGGCAAGGGGGACGAGAGAGCCGGGGCGTGAGGCGGGCAGGGCTGCGGGGACCGTGCCCCGGGGCGTGAGGAGGAACGGGCAGGACACGGCGGGAGCCCCGGGGCGTGAGGCGGGGCGGGCAGGGCGGCGGGAGCCCCGCGAGGCGGAGCGGGCGGGAGGCGGAGGGAGGGAGGGAGGGGAAGGCGGCTCCGCACAGCCAAGATGGCGGCGGTGGAGCTGGAGTGGGTGCCCGAGACGCTGTACAACACGGCCATCTCGGCCGTGGTCGACAGCTACGGGCGGGCGCGGCGCCGCGACATCCGCTCGCTGCCCGAGAACATCCAGTTCGACGTGTACTACAAGGTACGGGGAAGGGGGGTGGGCCGAGCGGGGTCCCGGCCCGGCCGGGCCTGCGGGAGCGGGAAGGAGAAGCGGCCCCGGGGGTCGGCCCGGGCCCGGCCGCGCTGAGGGGCTGCGGGGCCCCTGAAGGACGGGCCGGGGCGGCCGAGGGCCTGTGGGGCCGCCTGGGCTGCGGGTCCGGGCTCGGGCAGGGCCGGGGCCCTGCGGGTGCCCCCGGGAGCCGCCCCGAGGCCGCGGTGAGGGGCCGGGGGAGCCCCCGGGGGGACGCGGGCACGGGGCCCGTCCTTGGGGCCGGGGGGAAGGGGCCTCCTCGCCGTTGGGGAACGGTTGGGGCAGGATGAGGCCAGGCTGGGATGTGTTGGAATATGTGTTTTTCCTTTCCCTCTTTTTTTATATGTATTTTTTTAAATGTTGTATTGGAGATGGTGATGTCAGTGGTTGAAGGAGCACTTTGCCGTGCTCTGGTATTAATGATCTGGTAGGAACCAGATGAGGAGGACTGAGAGTCGTTTGATGGTGTAGTTTATTAGCATTAAATCATTCCTCGGTGAAAGGGCTGTTTCTCATTCAGCTGCCCCTGAAATATAGAGAGTTGCTGTAAAAGGTGCACTGAGATGGTCCATTAATTTCCATTGTCCACTAAACAGGCATTTCATCCGTGTGCAGGAACTGCTGGAAATGAGCATTATCAGGAGAGAAACAATGTGTGTAAAACCCTCCCCAAAAACCTAAGATGGGGGATAACCCTTCTTTCCTCTGCCAGTGAATTTCTAAAAATTGAGGATTTTTTGAGTGAAGTAATTCTTTAGGCCAATTGGAAACCCCTTTTTACCACACATGGGTGTGCTCATGGGTAAATGATGTGATTGATGCGTGGTGATCATCAGATGAAGGCTAAAGATACGGAAAAATATTTTGGGGGTCACTTTTAACTGTTAGTAGGTATGACCATTGATAAATAAACTTCCTTGGCTTTGCTTGTCCTCACGTTCATTCAGGTGAGAGGATGGTGCTCTGTGGCTTTTGAAAGCATAAAACCAAACCCTCTGTTTAATGATAGAAACGTCCAGGTGTTGTTTAAAACTCACTTGGAGGGGAGCTTGATACACGACTGACCTGTGGTGCTTTTACTGGCAGTGTTTGGTGGTTGCATTGACTCAGGTTCATGTGGAGTTGTTCAGTGATGAAAAAAGGTGCAGCAGCTCATCTGAGAGCTGGAGAGATTTCCTGACCTGTTTGTTCTACCTGTGTGTGTGATTTGTTGTCTTGCTGGGTAATGAACGTGCTCAGTACCTGTCCCCAAAATAACGCTGGTGTTGTGCTGGCAGTGTTGCTGTTGTTAGTGACGGTCATTCCATAGACCCACACAATGGGTTGGGTTGGCAGGGGCCTTAAAACTCATCCAGTTCCAACCCCAACACCTTCCACTAGATCCCAGGTTGCTCCAAGCCCCGTCCAACCTGGCCTTGGACACTTGCAGGGATGGGGCAGGCACAGCTGAGATATTTTTTCCTGATATCCAGTCTAAACCTCATCTGGGTCACTTTGAAGCCATCCCTCCTTGCTTTCTCTGTGTGTTTTACAGCAGGATGGTCTTTGGTGACCTGGAATGTGTGACCTGCACTGATTTTGCTCTCCCCAGCAGGCCCCATGTGCACTGAGTGTTCTGTGGCTGCCCAGGGCAGGCTGGGCTCCAGCTCCCGGCACCTTTTCTGGGCAGGAGAACCAATTCAGGCCAGGAGCAACCTGGGCTAGGGAATGGCATCCCTGCCTGTGGTCTTCAGGGTCCCTTCCCACCCAAACCATCCTGTGATTCCATAGCTGCCCTCTTTAATAGTCACATTCAAATGAGCTTATCCATGGATGTCCCTAAACCCCGGATGGGATGCTGAGAGAAGTCCTCACCCCTCACTCAATAGTGAGTGCCTCAGAGCCCAGCCCAGACTGCAGATCTGAAACAGTGTTTGCATCTTCCTGTGCACCTGCAGAACTCCTGAGAACTGGTCCTTGGTGTGTCTGTTTGGGTGGTGACAGCAGTGCCAGTGGTGTAGCTGTTTGGTTCTGGATGCAGTTCCTGTGACAACCAGGTGGGTTTTAATGCCATTTCAGCATGGTGAGCCATATCCCATTCATCCTGACCATCCAGAAGTAGAATTTCCAAAGTAAGACAGAGTAGGAGACTCTTAAATCTTTGTTTGGCTACCTGGTGGTGTTGCTGCTGTGTTGGGGTGCAGATACAGCTGAGGAGAAGTGGTGTGTGATTGAGGATTTGTGTAAATCCCACCTACATTTAGACCCTAAGACAGGCAGAGAATCCCTTTCATTTTGTGGTTATTAAAATATAAAAATCTCTTTGTTTTCCCCTCAGTCTTTCACATGTGAGTGAGTATAATTTGGAAGTAATGGTTTGTTGTCCAGCTGTTAATCATTGTTTGTGGTACTGGAGAAACTTCCACTGATTTTTCTAAAGAATAAATGGTGGTATTGGTCAGATTGTATTTTAATATACAGATTAATTGGCTGTGGCCATACAGAACTTTGTGTATTGTATTCATTGCTATGAACACTCAAACTTAACATTTGCCAGGCTTGCACAGGTTCCCCAGTGTGTTCAGCTTGATTCAGAAGCCACAGATAAGATCCAGCAGCAGAGACAGTGGGATTTAAAAGGCAGGAAAATGCCAGCAGAGTGTCTTAGTTTTTTCCCCAGGGTACCCTCTGATCCAGTGTTTGGCTCTATTGTCACAATACATTGCCTGTATTTATTGAACAAATTCAATTAGTTTTAACTTTAGATCTTCCAGAATTGTTAAAGTTGGGGACTTGCCCCACAGACCTGAATGAGGAGCTGCCCCGGGGAAGCTGCAGGATGTTCTTGGTGTGGACTGGGTAAGGGATGGGTTGTGCTGCAGTGACAGGAGCAGGCAGGCCCCTCACTCTGAGCTTGTTTGCCTTTCTGGAGCATTCTCAAACAGTGAGGACAGCTCAAAACAAGGAATATCAAACACTCATGACCGTGGTAAAACAACAAACCTGTCCTGCTTCACCCAGGGTGTCACTGGATATCCTTTTTTTCAAGCAGCGTTTGACTTTTCCTTGCAACCATTAGAGGCAGAGCAGGACACTTGGGAGGATATCCTGGAAATTTCCAAGCCTACGTCTGAGCTAAAAAATATTGAAATGTCTTATTAATCACAGCTGTATTTTGAAGAGCTTAAGAACTGGTATTGTTACAAGTAACACCTGCCTCTGGGGGGACAAAATACAAATGTGCTCACATATGATATTTTATTTCCTTTGGGTGTTTGCCAGGTGTGTGTATATCCTGGTTGGGTTGGTTCCTAGTTAAACTAGTCAGGTTCTCTTTCCTCTTGGGGTTTGTTTTTTTTTTGGGCTGGGGAGAAGAGAGAAAGGGGGAGGTGGTTTTTAGAAACCAAAGAAAAAAATATGCTGGATCTCATTTAACTGGGAGCCAGCATGTGAGCAAAATGCCAAAATTCTCCATTAAAAAGTAGCGACAGCTGGAATAAACTTCAAGCCCTCAAAAAAAAAAATAAAATCAAGTGACTGTATTTTGTAGTGTGTCAGGGTGAGGATGGTGTTCTGAGGGAGGGTGTTCACATTTTGTGTAATTATCTCAGTACTTTGGGTCTCAAGGTGCTTCAGTGTTCTCTGTCACAGGTATTTGTTGCAGTTAATCACTGACAGGCTCCTTTTGGACTTGTGTTGGTTAACAAGGAGTTTCATCCCGTGTTTATTTTCCTTTTGGAATGTCTTTTCTGGGTTGTGTGTGTTTCTGCTTTTTCACAATTGATTTTTCTTGAAAATGATTAGTGTCCAATGTTCTTGGAATGCTCTCTGATGAGATCATTAACCACAGGAACAGTTGGGGATGACATTAATTTGCTTTCTCTCACGTCCGGGTGTGTTTTGAACCAAAGAAAGTGAACAAACAGGAATCTGCTGACTGTTCCCTGCATTGCAGCACAGATGGGGTTTGGGGATCGAGTTTGCTGAGGAGGGATCACCGTGAGCATCATTTCTGCAAATCCCTGGGGAACCCTCCTGTCCCAGGGCTGGGGTGTGCAGGGTCCTGATGGAGTGAGGAGGATAAACTCCCCCGAGCTGTGGCTTCAGCTCCCTGCCCAGGGAAGTACAGACAAGGTCACCAGCTCGGGGTGTGAGGGAGGCAGAGCATCCCAGAGCCTCTTCTGGGGGACTCTGCTGGGACCCACAGTGTGACCTCACAGCCTCGTAGTTCCCCTGGTGCTGCTGTGGGGGCAGAGCTGTGTGCTGGTTTGTGTGTGCACACCCCCTGCAGCCTCCCTGCTCACCTGGGCAACAGCTCAGCCTGTCCCTCTGCACATCAAACCCTCCCACTGGAGGGGAATCAGCACCTCAGGAGTTTTCCCCAATTATTAACACATGCCTTGTTCCTCTAGTCTAAATTTAGCTCTGAGCTGAGCCATCTTGCCTTGTTGTGTCTCTCCTGGTTTGACACTTCTTGCCTTCTAACTTGAATTACTCAGATTGCTTTTTTTTGTTTGAACCCCTAACTATGGGATGTATTTTCTCATCCCAGTATCCTGAGCTTCTTCGTTTTTCTCATCTCCTTGTTGAGTGTGAGACAGTAGAACTCATCATAATTGGGATAATGAGGTCACACCACGAGCAGAGGTGTTCAACTCCTGCTGAACAATAATTCCCATTTCCACTTCATTTCCTCTGGGCTGATTTAACTTCAAAGCAAACTGGGTTTTCCCAATTACTGCTGAGGAGAATCTGCCACCTGTGTCACTGTGAGGCTCAGACTTGTGTCCCCTGTGCTGGACTCTGTGAAGCCCAAACTGTGCTGCTGTGACACAGAGCAGGGTGGGCAGTGTTTGGGGTGTGCAGGCAGTTGGCTCTGGAGACAGAGTATTGGTTTTCTTCTTGATTGTTTCATTGATGGAGGTTTGTAAGGACCAGCCTAGTAACTGGCAGGATGTTTTCCAAGAATAGTTGAAAAATTGCATTTTTTTGATGCCCCAGACAATCTCCAGTAGAAGCAGGGCTTGTCTGGAGGTTTGTAGATGGTTTCCCTAAATTTCCAGCTGGTTGTTTTCCAATCTGTGCCCCCTGCTCCTTCTGTACTGACTCATTTGCCAGCAGATCCATTCAGTGCTCTGTCAACTCAGGAAACTTTTTCCTTCCTTGTCAAGTGGGGAAGGAAGATGGGGCTTCAGCCAGGCTTTCTTCCCAAGTCCTGCTGTTGGTGAAGTCCAGAGTCCTTCCCCAGCCTGGCAGGGTACTCCACATTACGTTATTAGGCATTACAAAACATGCTGGGGAGCTCCTTGGATTTCCTCTCTAATTCTTACTGAAACATCCATATTTTTCAGTGCTCTTCCAAGCTGGAGCAACAGGAGCATATTTTTCAAATTGCGTGTTCAGTTCCTGCTCTGGAGGGTCCTCGTACAACTGGTTGGAATTAACCTCCAGCTGCTTTAAAAAATATATTTTAAAATGAATTTTTTTATTATGTTTAGAAGCAGTTGGTTTTTTTTTTTTCTTCAGCTTAATCTATTCAGGGAGAGAAACCCAGCCAGAACTTTAATAGAGCTATGATATAATAGGTAACAAGTTGATGTTATTAATTTGTTTAATTGGGGGCACTGTGATGTGCAGTTCTTGCCTGTTTAGGTGGATGTGTTACAAGTTCAATATTCAGCCTCAGATCCTGAAGGAGGGTCAGCAGCTGGATTGGGCACGTGTGTAAATCATAGACCTATATTAAATTCGTGCCTGTTTTCTGTGCCAGAACTGATGTGGCAGCGTGAGCTGGTGGAGCTGGGGGTCACACTGCAGCCTTTTAGTCACGAAATAACTCCCTGCTGAGCTCCAGAGAGGTGAAGCTTCTGTCTGAAAGGCATTTCTCTCCTCAGAACAGAACAGTGGTTCACAAGTCCAGGCTCTGCTGTTCGTGTCAGGACGTGTTTCTCTTGAATCACTATTTTGTTTTGTCTTTTGGGTTATGTAGCAAGGCTGTGGTCAGGAATCCTGTCTCTCTGGAGCTCTGACAAGAGAACCATTTCTTCAGTCCTCAGTGAACAAATGAGTGTTATTGAATCTCCTGGAATTACTTCACAGTCTGACGTAGAACTCACTATTTCCATGTCAAAGTCTGGTTGAAAGTGTTGCTGTAACAGCTCCAGCAGTTCCAGGAGGCTCTGAACTGGGTTAGTTCCTCGAGGGAAGGGGTGAGTGGGGGTGGAAATGTCCCAGGGATATTTTATCTCTACCTAGAGCAGTGAAAAACAGCCCCTTGCACCCTTGGTGTGCCCCAAATAATGGATGTGTCCAAGCTGAGGGCAGTTTGGGCCCTTCCCTCCCTCCCCACCAGGCTTTGGTTCCTTGGCAGTTCAGGAATCACATGGAACAGTGGGCACAGTCCAAGAAGTGTTTATGTAACCTCATCAATATTAATTTTAATAAGCCTTACTACAGTTAGTTTTTGGTGAGCCAGGAGCCTCTGGGGTTTTTAGGAACCACTGCACAGTGAGAGGGGGGAATGATACTGTGCTTGGGAACTGTGCAACCTGTGCTGGTCCTTTGATTGCCCCAAATCCAGGTGCAATGGGTGCCTTGGCTCCCTCCAGGTGAGCCCATCCCGTGTTGACAGGATGTCCACCTGCAGTTTGGGCACAGAAAACCAGGCAGTTTAAACATCCTTTTATTTTATTTTTACTGCAGAAAATATGGTTTAGGTTTTATAGAGCATTTGCCCTGAGACAGCTGTGAAGTCATTTAACCATGACTGTAGCTTTTAAATACACCACTCTGGCTGCTCCCCCAGTGCCAGGGAGAATCCAGCTCTGATCCCTTTGAAGTGCAGGGACACATCCCTGCTTTATCTGAGCACCAACTCTGCATGCAAACTTGCTCTGGTTTTTAAAAGACTGCCTTTTTATTTATTATCCCCCAGAAAAATAGATCACTAAAAGGAAAACATTCATTTCTGGCGATTGACGTTATTAGGTCAAAGTATTTTTGAAGTGTTTTTTGGAGGTGCTGCTGTTAAAATAACAAACTTGCTGTGCTGTGGAGTCAGTGTCGTGTGCCTTGATAAGAAGAGTTGACTAAAACTAAATTTCTGGCTGGGGATGTTCTCACTTAGCTGTGTTTGGAACACTGAATTCATCAGTGTTTGTGGAGAAAAAGGTGAACCAGGCACAAGGTGCAGTTTTCCCCTTTTCTGAGGGAGCAATGACCTGTGTGAGCTCAGGGGTTCCTGGGGACAGGGCTCATGCCTTGGTGGTGCTGGGGATTGGTGAGTGTGGGTTTGGGTTTATTTATACATTATATATTATATATTTGCATTGCTGTGCTCTGGATTGTGGGTCAAAGCTGTTAATTCTATTTTTTGCTGACTTGAGGGGTTTCTTGGTTTTCTCTTGGGTTTGTAGCTTATGTTGGCCGTGTTTTGGTGATGCAGGAGGACACAGACACTTGAAAATACATTTCTAGATTAAAAAAAACCCTTGAAAGCCCCTCTGGATCTCTCCTGACTGGTGTGCTCAGCCTTTAAACACTGCACTGGTGTCCTGTGGTGATACCCCGTGGTGATCCTGGAACTATTACTTTTTTAGCCTGCTGGATTTCAGTGCTCTAAAATCTCAGTTGCATCACGAGTCCTCTTTCCTGTTAAGGTAAATCTCCCAGAAAAACTCAACCTTAAATTTGGAGATTAACTTCCGTGGTTTCTTTCAGCTTTACCAACAGGGCCGTCTGTGCCAGCTGGGTAGTGAATTTTGTGAACTAGAAGTTTTTGCAAAGGTGCTACGAGCTTTAGATAAAAGGTGAGTGTCTTAACCAATCAATAATTCGCCTTTCAGCCCTTAACCTCTTGATCTGGGAAGAAAAAAGGTGCAAACAAAACAAACCAATGATGCAAAACTCCCCCAGTTTCTCAACAGCAGGTGGATGCCCAGCCAGGCCCTGAGCAGTGGCAGGCACAGCAGCCACTTCCTGCTGGCTTAGCAGGTCCTGAGGGAAGGGTTCTGCTGCTGACAGGATTGCCCCAGTTTGAAGAGCTTTCCTGTCGTTAAATATTGCACTTTGGGGTGCCACACTCAGAACTTGGCTGTTTGAGATCAGATTCCTGGTGACCAGAAGGAGCTCTGAGTCTTCAGGCACTGCTTGTGTGTGATGTTAATGGAGCCATCATTGCTGGGGGAGGGTGGATTTGGGGCTTCCTCCCTCCTGAGCTTCAGCTGAAAAGGTTGTTTCCCAGATTTAACGCTGCCTGGGCAGGCTGTGTTTTCCTTCCACTGGAGGGTGTCCTGGTGCAGAACGTTGTGTACCCTCCCTTGGTGTCAGACCATCCAACAGCTGTGACCCATTATCCTGGAGACTCCCAGTGATGCTTCTCTTCATCTGCTCTGGGTTAGGGGCAGCCTTGGGGTTTGTTTCTCTGGTGTGAGCTCATGGCAGCCCAGAGCCAGCTGAGTGCAGTGCTCTGAAAACTCCACGTGGCACTGAGTTGTGCTTCCCTTTGTTGCAGACATCTGCTCCATCACTGTTTCCAGGCTCTGATGGACCATGGGGTCAAAGTGGCTTCTGTCCTGGCCTATTCCTTCAGCAGACGGTGCTCCTACATTGCAGAGTCAGATGCTGCTGTCAAAGAAAAAGCAATCCAGATTGGCTTTGTTTTAGGTAACTGCTGCTTTCTCTCTGCAAACCTCAGTTAATTTACTTCTAATTATTTTCATGTTAATGCCTGTGATGTTTTGTTAAAGAACTTGTGTGTTTTGGAATGTGATTTTGAGAAAACTACCTGGTGTCTTAAGAAAAATACACTGGATTTTAATATCTAAGAATGTGTAGGCTTTTCTGTTGCAAACGGTTTAGACTTAAAATTTCTTTGCAGATGTGATGCTTAATGTAAGGGATTTAAATGTTTTTATTACTGGTAAGTTCTTCTTGACAGAGAACTGTAGGAAAAATGCGTCCTACCAAAAAGTCATGCTCAGCTGAAGGAGAATCCTTCTTCTCTCAGATTTCATCCTTTTCAGTCCAGGACAGGAGGGTTTGACCTTGCCAGGATTTCTGTCTGTAGGTGCAGATCTGTGAAATCAGGAGGTGTCTCACAAGACTCGAGCAAAGCCCTTTTCTCTTGGAAGGGCTGACGTGATGTCCTTGCTGTGTCCCCAGGGGGGTTCCTGTCGGATGCAGGCTGGTACAGCGATGCTGAGAAGGTGTTCCTGTCCTGCCTTCAGCTGTGCACGCTCCACGATGAGATCCTGCACTGGTTCCGGGCCGTGGAGTGCTGTGTGAGGTGAGCTGCCCTCACTGCTGGGGCACAGGGCAGGGCCAGCCAGCTCCAGGTGTGCTGCCCTGCTGCTCCAAAACACTCCCCTGGCACAGCTGAGGATCGGGAGGTGCTGGTTTTACCCCAATCCCTGGGTATCACAACCCCTGTGCTTCGCTGTCCTTCCCAAGATCTGCTGGGAAGCGTGGCTGGACACTGAGAGTGTTGGAGCACCTGAAGGAATGTTCAGGGTGGGACTTTGCTGAACTTCTGTTTGCTACAAGAAGAATTTGCCAAATCCAAACTCAAATGTTCCAGACTCAGAAATGAAAGCAAAACTTGCCTTTCCTGGTTCCAGATCCAGGGAGTTCTCATGCTGAGCTGCTCTGGGTTAGGTAAAGATCTGGATGTCCAGCTCTGTGGCAGCTTGAGCCACAGCTGGAAACATCTGGGAGAGAATTTTTTTGCTGTTAGGAGGCACTTGGGTTTTGAACCTGCCTTGTTTCTCAGGGCCTGTGGAGGTTGATAGCACTGACAGAGGCCTCAGATCATAATTCAGTTTTTGGTGGCTCTTCCACCTCTGTAGCCAGGTGAGATGAACTGCAGCCAGTGGCCAGCTGGGGTTTGTTGGGAGCACCAGGACTGCCAGGGGTCACAGGAGTTACCTGAGGGCTGCCGAGCAGAGCTAGAACAGGACTGAACTTCTTTCAGCTGCTGTAAAACAGAACAAAGCATGTGCTGTGTGGAGTGCAGGGCAAAACTTGTTTGGGGAAGCTGCTCCAAAAAAAGCCCTGCATCTTGTTTATGGCTGGGCAAACACGAAGGGGAAAGAGGCTTTGCCAGGAGCTGCTGATGTGCTGTGCCAGCCCCAGGGCCATGGCAACGCTGCTCTGCCTGCTCCTGCTGGCTCTGCCAGCTTCTGCTGGCTGCCATTCCAGGAATAAACTGATGCCAGGAGACTGGGCACACAGATCCACCTCCCAGAACTGAGGGGTGATGGATACAGAGCCACAGTTAGTGCTTGGTGCTTTGCCTTCTAATTAGTCTAAAAAAAGTTCCCTGGTTGTAGCAGGCCATTTGGCAAGCTGGGCAAGTTGCTTTAAATAAACTGTTGCCTTCTCTGAATAGAAAAAAAAAAGGTAAAGAAAGGGAAAAATGGAACTCTCTGTTGGACAGCAGTTGTGGAAAGGAGATTTTCAGGGATGACCCTTAAAAAAAGTGGTAGCTCTTGCTCTAAATGTTGATAAGTCTGCTCTCTGGGAGTTGAATTAATGCACTGCATTATTAATAGAATGGAGTTTAAAAATGTGGAGTTCTGTGCTATTTAAGCGTGGCTTGGTGTTTCCTTCTACCAGCAGCAGTAAATTAAATGGAGAAGCTGGGAAGACTGGAGGTTTGGATGAGCTGGAGTTCTGCTTCCCTGCGTGTGTGGTGCTCCTCTTGGTTTGCTTTCTCTGTATTGTGTGTTGAACAATGAGGTACAAGTAAATAACACAAATTTGTGGTTCCCCCACTCCATTGTTTCACATTCTGCTGATTCTTGGGTTGGTTTTTTCCTGGTGGTTTCAGACTTCCTAAGCTGCTGTGCAGCACAGTGTTGGCTCCTAGAGACTGGTTTTATTGGGGGAGGTTCGTCCCCAAAAGCTGTTGTTGCAGACATCAAAGGAGCTTCAGAGCCATTAGCATAAACGTCCTGAGGCCTCTTCTCTTCCTCGTGGCTTTATCTTCTGGAATTCCTTTGGATTAATAAAGGATTTTTTGTTACTCAGAGCTGGATCACATAAACTCTGCTTATCCTAGAGGATTGGCTTAGGTTTAGCTTGGTTTTTGGGGGAGATTTCTTTGTTTTAAGACACTATCACTGAAGCATCCAGGCACTGGATAGGATCTTTCCCAGGAGCTTATCTAAATTGCAGTGCTATCCCCACTGGCTTATACCATTACATGGGATTTGGGCTCCAAGGCTCCCATGCTGCACAGCAGCTCCCAGCTGAATGGTTTTGCCTCTTTAGGGAAGCTGATTTCTTCATTTTCCTCCATTCCAAGGAAAAATGGGGGTGTTGCTTTTGGCTGTGGCTGTTCCTCAGCCTGGTTGCTGTTTCCCCCTGCAAGGCTGGTGTTTGTGGAGCTGCTGGCAGGGTTTCTGAAGGTCTGTCCTTTGATGTTCTCTTTGTGCAGCAAATGCACAGCTGTCCTGTGCTTGCCTCCACTCCCTGTTGGGAAAAGGGGAACTTGATTCCTTTCCTGTTGGAGTTTGAGTTTGTTGATGCACTTGGATGGGAAAGAGGGACAAGCTGAGTTTTTAGGGTGAACTGAGCTGTGTTTCTGTGCTGCAGCACGTGGCTACAGTACCTTAAATCTCTGCTTGGAGTAAGGGCAAACAGGAAACACCTTTAGAAAAGAAACAAATCTGAGCAAAACCTTCACTGTTCATTCCTTCCCCTTTACCAATTTATTGGGAGTTTTATCCTGAAGTGCCATAACAGGAATCAAATGCTTTTCCTGTACATTAACTCTGAGTTTCAGCCTGTTTGCAGTGCAGCACCAGGCTCTGCTTCCCTTCTCCCTGTGCAGTTGTCTCCCTGTGTTCTGCTCCTCATTCCCAAGCCTCGCCTGCTGGTTTCAGTCTCTGTTCCTCACTAATGTCTAATAACACATTTCCAGGGGGCCAGGGGAGGTTAACTCACCCCAATCTCATCTGTGCTCCATTTTCCATGGAGCAGGAACAGCTGCCCTGCCTGGGAATCCACCTCTGCCCTGGGGGCTTGGAATATGAAAAGGCACCCATTCCAAATGTATCTCATTAAAGTAAATAAGCATCAGCCTACACTGATGAAAAAGATTTTTTTATTTTAACTAAGTTGCCAGAAGCTGAGGCTGTTACTTCTCCAGAGAAACAGGAGGAGGTTTCCTTAGTGCTGGGTGTCACTGGCTGCACTGGGCTGCTTCTTGAGGCTCCTGTTAATCCTTGGGATGGAAAGGCATTGGGACAGGAGAGGGCAGGGAGAGAGGATGGAGGAGCTGCTGTGGGCTGAGTCAATAAAATAGTCTCTTATCTCGTGTCAAATGAATGTGAGTAAATCTTTTGTGAGGAAACCCCAAAAGACAAAAATGCCCATTTGGAGCCCTGGGCCGCTCAGGGCTTGAGGGCAAAGTGCAGAGGTGCAGGAGAAGGAGCTCTGTCTGTACTCCCTCAGTGGCTCTTTGAGGTTACCATGCTGAGGGGAGCAGGTGGAAGGGATTTCCTGCTGTGTAGGACAGGGCTTTGGGAATGGCATTTCATCAGGATTGAGAAGAACAGATTTTATGGAAAATGAAACACAAAGCCAGCACAGCAGGCTGGTTCAAGCACTGGATTTGCAGAACTGCATCAGTATGTGAGATCATTGGTGTGAGAGGTTCCCTGAGCTCTCCTCTGTGTCCCCCCAGGTTGCTGCACGTCCGGAATGGGAACTGTAAATACCACCTGGGGGAGGAGACGTTCAAGCTGGCCCAGTCCTACATGGAGAAGCTGGCCAAGCACGGCCAGCAGGCCAACAAGGCCGCGCTCTACGGGGAGCTCTGCGCCCTGCTCTTCGCCAAGAGCCACTACGATGAGGTGAGGGCTGCCAGGGGCTCCAGCAGCCACCCAGCACAGCACATTCCTCCTCCAGTGCCTGCAGGGCACTGCCAGGGAACACTGTGGGTCTGGGGGATATCCTGGCTCAGTCCTGAGCTCCTGGTGCTGCTCAGACCAGCACTGGTACGAGTGATACCCTGGGGGTTCGTGTTGGGCCTCTCTGAGTTGAGTTAAACTGTGTTTTGTCTTTGGCTCCCCAGTCCACTGACCAGGGTGTTGTCCTCCACAATGGGACTTGGGAGCATTACTTAAAGATTATTTTAAAATCTTTATAAAAACATCTTTAAAAATGTGTATAAAAACCACTGTTTTGTCTGTAAAAGTAATTGTAATAACACATACTTAGGCTACTGTAAAATACTTACATAGTTGGTATTAACCTTAAAAGTGGTTTCTAGGTCAAGTTTCATTACGTGTAAACAATTGAACGGCATATTTGAAATTTTGGGATGTGAATGACCAGCTTCTCAGAGCCAGGTAACGTTTCTCTTGATGTGGTGAAGTCCCAGCTTCACTGTGTGGATCCCTCTTTGTCCCCCAGGCCTACAAGTGGTGCATAGAGGCCATGAAGGAGATCACGGTGGGGCTGCCCGTGAAGGTGGTGGTGGACGTGCTGCGACAAGCCTCCAAGGTGAATTGAAGACTTCCACGCTGCTTTTGTACCTCATCTACCACCAGGAGCGGGTGGGGATGGTTTGTTCCTCCAGAACTCCTGGAACCAGCTCCACCTCAGGAGCCTCGAGGCTTGTTGATTGGGTTTAATGGGTCCAGCTCAGCCTCAGACCTGGGCAGGGGGGTATTGCTGGGTTTGTTTTTTTACTGTGATGCTTTTGTTAAATAACTGAGAAGCCCCTCGATAAGCAGAGAGGTGTGACATGAGGAGCAGCAGTGTGGGGAGGAGCTGGGCTGGGAGCACAGCCCCTCACCACTCGTGTCCCCTGCAGGCCTGCGTGGTGAAGAGGGAGTTCAAGAAGGCCGAGCAGCTCATCAAACACGCCGTGTACCTTGCCAGGTGAGCAGCTCTCCAGGAGAGCCCCTCTGGGATGTGCCCACCCTGCCTCAGTGTGTAACGAGGTGTGTTTTGCAGGGAGCACTTTGGAGCCAAGCACCCCAAGTACTCTGACACGCTGCTAGACTATGGCTTTTACTTGCTCAACGTAGACAACATCTGCCAATCTGTTGCCATCTATCAGGTAGGCAGCAGGGCTGTGTCTGGCTTTCTTAGTCTCTCCAATGTTGTAGTTAATTCATGAGGACTGATAATAGTTGATTTAATTACTGCAGTGCTGTTCTTTAAAGAAAACCCAAACACCACCAACTTTTTCTTTCTTTATTCTTTATTCTTTCCCTGACTCATGGGTCTTTTATACATTTAGTGTCTCAAGTATGCAGGAATTTCAGAGGCAGTAGTTTTTGTCCCTGTTTGCCAGGATTTTTTCTGTATGAACTGCTGAGTTGGTTCTGGTCCCTCTTGCAGACAGCGCTCGATATCCGGCAGTCGGTGTTTGGAGGCAAAAACATCCACGTAGCCACGGCCCACGAAGACCTGGCTTATTCTTCATATGTTCACCAGTACAGCTCTGGGAAATTCGACAACGCACTGTGAGTGCTGCTCTTTGGGGGGCTGGCAGCACATTTACTGCTGCCAATGGAGAAAAACGTCCCTAAATGATCCAGATTTGCGGTTGGAATGTAATGCATGTGGATTGCAGTAACGTTTCTGCTGTTGTGTCAGCTGCTGACTTGGAGATGCACCTTGAACTTTTTATTTCAACTTGATTTCAGATTCCATGCTGAACGTGCTATTGGCATTATAACTCACATTCTGCCAGAGGACCATCTTCTCTTGGCCTCTTCGAAGAGAGTGAAAGGTAGTTCCCTCCACTTGAAACCCTTCCTTGGGATTGGTGTGTCCTGTTCTCTTGCAGACAATGGAACTTGAGTTGTTGTTTTCAAGGGAGGTGACTCTGGGTGTTTGTAATCCTTGATGTTCTCTGTCAACACACCTGTAAAATAACACAGAGAAAACTCTTTAAAACTTACCTGGAAGGCTTTGAGTGGTATAAAAACACAGAATACACAAATTTATGTTGTGTGCTTGATCCCTGGGGTGCCAGTGTGTGTGCCAGACCAGGCTGGTGAGGGGTGTGGTGATGGCTCTGTGCTGCCCAGGGGAGCCTGTGTGTGCAGCACAGTGCCAGCTGCTCTCTCTGTCCCCAGCACTCATCCTGGAGGAGATTGCCATAGACTGTCACAACAAGGAGACAGAGCAGAGGCTGCTCCAGGAGGCTCATGACCTGCACCTCTCCTCGCTCCAGTTGGCCAAGAAAGCCTTTGGGGAGTTCAACGTGCAGACAGCCAAACACTACGGCAACCTGGGCAGGCTCTACCAGTCCATGAGGAAGTTCAAGGTGAGACTGGCGGTGTGAAGGGCCTGACTTCGTCTGCAAGGCATCCAAAATCTGTCACAGCAAGGGAGGGTTTGCAGTGTCCACATCTCACAGCCTCAGCTGGTACTTTTGTGCTTTATCATTGATCTCAAAAGCTTTGTGCAGGAACAGCCCAGGGGGGGTACTTGCTGCCCTCAGGGGGTGACAGCGGGTTTGGTGACACCATTTAATGATCCACCTCATTGAGAATTTGGAGAATTTGCTTTGGTTTTGGCTGTGTTACTTTTTGTCTTTTCTAGAACACTACAGACTGCTTAGCAACAGGGTTATGTTTCTTTAAACTTTCCCCCTCTCTGTGGGGTGGTGAGGGGTGTCTGACTGACCCGTGTGGGTTTGGCCCCCCAGGAAGCAGAGGAGATGCACATCAAGGCAATTCAGATCAAGGAGCAGCTCCTGGGCCAGGAGGATTACGAAGTTGCCCTCTCCGTGGGCCATCTCGCCTCCCTCTACAACTATGACATGAACCAGTATGAAAATGCTGAAAAGCTTTATTTGAGATCCATAGCAATTGGTGAGTGACACAGAGGAACTTGATGGGATACAATGCACTTTATTTCATGTGGGTTTTCAATGTAAATGTGGTTTTCTTTAGTGTTCTCCTGGGGACTGAATTCTGAACTTGGGTTACTTTTAGTGCTCCTTCAGAATTCATTGAAAACAGACCCATTAAACACATTTTGGAGTTGTGGCCAGAACCTGAGTGCAGAATGCAGTCAGATTTTGAAAGAAATGGACAATGACTGTGCCCATCAGAAGAACTTCTCTCATTACATATTTGTCTTGCCCTTTACCTTCTGTAGTGAATTTTATTCCCAAATCAGGTGCATCCTTGGGCCATGCTGTAGCCCAGGTTTGAGGCACAATTGTGCTTCATACAGTTATGTACAGTGTGTTACAGAAAAAAAACATGGGTTTTATGTAGAAAACAAAAACTTCCCTGTTTAAACTGAATTTGGAGTGTAACTGGGGCACAAACTGAGTCCCCTGTACAGGGCTGTAGATTCTGCACATGTAAAGCTGTGGGGCAGGTGATGTTGTGATTGTAGAGCCCCTGAGGAGCAGTTGCAGCACCCTCAGAGCAGGGGGTAGATGGAATTCAGACCAGCACCCAGGAAGGTCGTTTGTGTTCTTGGTTTACCCTGACAAAAACCTTCAAGCTGTTGCTAAAAATGACCTGAGAAATCGCAGCGTGTGGATGTTCCGCCTCTGAACTCAGTTTTCTTTTGGATTCCTTATAGGAAAGAAGCTTTTTGGGGAAGGATACAGTGGACTTGAATATGATTACAGAGGTCTCATTAAACTGTACAATTCCATTGGCAATTACGAGAAGGTCTTTGAGTACCACAATATCTTGGCCAACTGGAACCGGTTGCGGGACCGGCAGTTCTCGGTCACGGATGCCCTGGAGGACGTGAGCACCAGCCCCCAGTCCACGGAGGAGGTGGTCCAGTCCTTCCTGATGTCTCAGAGCCTCGATGGACAGAGCAGCTAAGAACTCGGTCACTTAACCAGTTAAGGTTTTCTCCCCCACCCCGGGGTTCCAGGGGGAAAAGTCATACTGTGAAATCTAAACCATGTAGTTCTCTGGGGGCTGGAGTTGGCGTTGAAACACTGGTCCAGTCTGCTGAAGAGTGCCCATCCGGATGAATGTGTGTTCAATTCCTCTCAGCATGTGTATGGCATGTTTAGTTCGGCTCACATTTTTAACTTGGTATTCCCAAAAAAAAAAAAAAAAAAAACCCACAAAAAACAAACCCCTTCTTTCTCTCTTCTTCCAAAAGAAGCTCCTTTGCAGAAAGTCTGCAAGAAAACATTAAATAAAAACTGTTTGAGTTCAAAAGAGTTGCATTGTTGTTATGGATGGAAGGTGTCACCAAGAGCTTTCTGCTGACGTAGAGAGAGAGTAAGAGCTGTCCTGTGAGGAGCTGTAGGAGAAAGGTGTTTCTGCTGTATCTTTGTAGCAAAGTTGATGGTAAATAGCGAGCACGGGGAGGATGCCCTGCCTGGGCTGCTGCCTTACCAAGAGAAGTGGCCAAGAACCACTTGGGAGCAACACTGAACCTCGCTCGGAGTGCAGTCCCCACCGTGTGCTTTGTGCATCCCTGAACTGGACCAGTGCTCACCTGGGAGCGGGACAGAGCCCCAGACCAGCCATCCCAGTGCCCTTGGTGCCACCACCAGTGCTCAGCCTGAGCAGGACCAGCAGAACCCACAGTGGACCAGCTGCTAAAAACCGCTTTGGACCAGTGGCTTTAATTTACCCCTTCTGCCCCTGCTTTCACTTGCCAGTAGGAGTCCTGCATTTAGGTGTCTGATCGGTGCAAATGATTTTCCTGTGATAGATCCAGAGCCAGGGAGTGCCCCTTCCTGAGCCATGGCCTGTCTGTTCCCGGTGAGCTTCTCCAGGCACTGTGCCCGTGCCACAGGCGGGACCAGCCACGCTCGACTCTGCTGCAGCCACCTCTGCTCTGCTCTGCTGGGCCTTCGCCTGCCGATGGAGCCCACTCCTTGTTTATACAGAAGAGTTTTGTACAACAATCCAGTTCCCTTTTCAGTTTCTGAGAACACAACTCACTGTACAGTTCACAGGGGTCGGTGGAAAATGCCAAAAAGCACAACAGGTCTTTTTTTTTGTGAAGCTTCATTTCTCCATTAAACACCAGTACAACCAGAAATGGTTCCCTGCTGTTCCTTCCTGCAGCAGAGCTCACTGCACAGACCTTGGCTGTGCCTCTCACTGGCTTGTCTTAACTGCCCTGCTGGGGCTGCCTGCTCGTGTGGCTTTGGCTTTGGGTGTTGTTCTGGCTTTGTTTTATTTCTCACTGTTGAGGGAATATTTGAGAGTCTGTGACACAAACTGGACCTGGCTCTGCTGACACCTCAGTTCTTCCAGCGGATTCTGGCGGGGGTGGTTCTCTCCTGCTGTTTTGGGGGGTTTGTACCTTAGGCAGTCCCAGCTGGGGCTGGGCTGGCTCTGGGTGTTGTGTTTGGGCTCTGGTTTGCAGTTGGTTTCTGAGGTTTCTGGCAGGGAAAGGTGCTGGATGGTCTTCAGGGAAGAAACAGAGATCTTGGACATGACTTAATGGCTCTTTTAAGAAGTGAAATTTTACAGGCCAATAGTTCATTTACTGGTGCCTTCAAGTGTATTTTGGGGGGAAAGGCTGAGTAATTCTCAACTTTAAAATGCAGTTTTGTAGTTAGTGAAGATTAATGATTGCATATTTGGGATGGCTTCACTGAGGTGAAAAGAAAGATTTGCATGAACCCCCCTGTGGTGTTAGGACTTAACTGCAGGATGGCCTCAGCAGCTGCTCAGTGAAAATCCAGCTCGACGTGTGGACTTAACATCTAATTTATTTATAGCAATTTTGTTTATGATGTGTAGGAACTACAGACTAATTCAGCTGTAAAGGCAGAACCTTTTTCTCCCTGATGTCCGAGGCACCGATGAGTTACAACGTTCTCACGAGTTCTTAAATCCTATTCAACCCTATTTACAGTCAAACAAAGTGTGTAACAGTGGTGCCAGAACTCGGGCAGGGAGGTGGCTCAGAGCTGTCCTGAAGAAGCTGGGTGGTTCTGTGGCTCTGAGCTGCAGGAGTGTCCAAAGCTTCCAGCTGGGTCCTGGACTTGCACTGACATGGCCTGGAGATCCTTTATCCACTTGGGATCTCCAGCCTTGGTCTCCATGTCCAGCTCCTGACTCAGGAGTGTCTGAGCTCCAGTTGGAGCCCCAGGGGATGGTGCCAGAGGCAGGGAAAGGACTCGTCCCTCTGGGCCAGCGGGGCTCCAGCACTGCCTGACTGCCTGGGCAGAGCTGAGCCTGCAATTCCCTACATGCTCCATCCTGTGGGGTTTTCCAGGAGCAGGGGGGGTAATTCCCTATGTTCTCCCTGCTCTGGGGTTTTGCAGTGGCCTGCAGGTGTCCCCTCTGGCAGTTTTCCATGGTGGGGGGGCCTGGCACGATGGAACACTGGACACAGGGAATTAATTATTGGCATTTATAGGCACACAGAGGCAGCTGCACAGGGGCTGTTTGGTGCTGGCAGTGGCAGGGGACACCTGGGAGTGGAACTCCTGTGAAAATGCATCTTTTTCCTGAAGGTGAGTAAATGAATCACCCCAGAGTCACCGGTGCAGTGGGGAGGACGGGTGGCACCTTAAGGGAAACTTTTCACAGTTGATTAAATTGAACCCTTAATATTTCCCTGCCACGTTTGGTGAGTGAGGGGTGAGTCCTGTTTTCTGTGCAGCTGGGAGGGAGGGAGGAAGGTGATGTCAGATTCCCCCCTGCTCCTGGGGCTGCTCTGGACGTTGGGGAAGGGGGGAGCACACCCGGATTTGAAGAGCTGACAAAAGGGGAGTGGGAAATGTCTTTGCAAATCTCTCTCTCAGCTACTTGAAGTAAACGAGCCAGTAACTGTGTGGCCCCAAACAGTGTTTGGTCGCTGTTGTAGCAGGAGGATTCCAACAGGGAGTGTCTGTGCCTGCCTCTGTCCAGCTCTTTGGATGCTGCTTCAGTCCCTGCTCTGGAGCCAGACTTTGGTTTAAGGCTGTGTCCTTTTTGCACACCGGTTTTGGTAAACGGTTCTGAAGGGTTTGTTGAATTCCAAGCTGCCAGCTCAGGGGTGGTGGTTGTGACTCCCCAAAGGAAGCTTTCCTGTCCGTGTGCTGTGGTCTGGAATTCACTCGAGGTGCTGCTTCTCGTGGTACAAGATGCACGTGGGAGTCCATTCCCTTTCTCCAGCCCTCCCTGTGGCAGAGGAGGAAAAGGTGCCTCAAACAGGGTGGGAACCGTTGATGAACATCCCTTGGTGCTGTGGTTGGGCGGTGACTCGGGCTGGGGGCAGGTGATCGCTGTTCCCACCTTTCCCACAGGTCCCCCCTCTGCCTGTGCAGAGCCTGCTTCGATCTGGAGGCCGTTGTGTCCCTGTTTCCCACATTTCCAGAGGGAGCTCCTGGCTCTGCACTGGGCGGTGTCACCTCGTGACCTGTGAGGGCCTCGGGGTTCCCTCCCTGCAGGACCAGCCCCAGTTCCTGCAGCAGCCCCGGCAGTGCTGGGAGTGCTTTTGTCCCTAAATCTCAGGAAGGTGTTGGGCAGTGCCAGGGGGTCCCTGGGTGGTGGCAGCTGGGTGTGCTCTGGGCTCTGACGCTCTCCCTGCAGTCTCGGTGTCTGTAGCATGAGTGGCCTTAGTGAGTTTGTTGAAGTGCACATTTTTTTTTTTGTTTTGTTTTGTTTCTTTTCAGAAGTAAATTTTAAGATGAAGAAGATATATACTATATAAATATATAGAGCTATTTAGAAACTCGGTCTGTGGTGCACAAGTTCAGTGTTGGAGCTCAATAATCGTCGCAGGTACCATATGTGTAACTTCTCTTTTCTGTACATCCCTTTCTGGGAAGCAAATGTTGCCATGGTAACTACAACTTTACAATTTCTTTACTACTTAATGATGTGAATGAACTCTACATTTTATTGAATATTACCAGGTTCAGTACTATTTTTATACTTTATTGAACTACAGGGGATTTTAATTTAATAGCATTTAAAATAAAAAAAAAGATAAAAAGATGTTGCTTGAACTGTATAACTGTATAAATGGAAATACTCACACAAACCCACCTCTCAACCAGAATCTCTGCCTGTAGTGCCACGTTCATTTCTATGAGAGTCTCTTGCTCATGGCCAGAGCTTGCAGATCACCCTCCCTGTGGTGTCAGGGCGGGCTTTGGTGTCCCCCTCCCCCGCCTGCAGAGCCCAGCGTTGTCTGTGCCCATGGAACCACCCCCTGTTTGTAACCAGCATTGTGATATTCTGTAACTGTATTGCTCTACTGAAATATTGACCTAATAAATAGAGTGTTCTGCAGCCTGAGGTATCTGCACTGACTCGTTCAAACTTCACTTCCAGCACCTTCCTGCCTGCTCCGGTCACTCCAGGGGGCAAAGGGAAGGTGTTTGTGGGCAGATCCCTGTGGATGGGGCTGTGGGATGAGCCTGTGTTACCTGCAAGATGTGGATGCTTCCCAAATCCTTCCCTGCACGTTGGTCTTTTATTCCCCCTCTAAAGTAGCCGTGGAAGCACAGAAGGTTTTCGTGCAGGGAAGCGTCTCCTGTGGTGCCTGAGCACAGGGGGGGTTGAAAATTGACTTTTTGGGGGTGGTATTTTCAGACCCTCAGGTCTGAGTCGTTCCAGTGACCCCACAGTTCCCCAGCTGTGCAGGGGGCTCAGGCAGAGGCTCTCTCGTCCCACAGGGCTGAGATGACCATTTGTTCTCCCCAGGGAAACGGTGACACTTTGGAAGTGCTGCAGATGAGCTGCTGAGCTCAAGCCAAGGACAGGAGGCTGAAAAAAGCTCTGTTCCCTTCAGCTGGTCCCAGGGAAGAATCAACAGCAGCAACCCTGCAACTGCTCTGCCCAGGTGAAGGGAGAAGGGAGGGAGGAGGCTGCTGGGCTGGTTTTTGGGGTCACACACCCCGGTGTGCCCAGGGATGACTCTTCCCTGGCTGGTTCCTGCTCACGCTGACAACACAACCCCAGTCCCCCAGGCGTGGGGCTGGCTGGGCTGGGGGTGCTTTGGGGTGCTCCAGGTGTCAGGGGAAATGCTCCCTTGGATTTCCTGAAGCTCCCCTGGCTGGCAGAGCTCTGGTGCATCCCTGGCAGGGCCAGCTCTGCCCCGGGGCTGCCTGGCCAGGGTGGCAGTGCTGCTGTCACTCCTGCAGGGCTCTGGGCAGAGCAAGCTCTGCTCGTTCCTGACACCCTTTGTTTCTGCTTCCCGTGGCACAAAATGTGTGTCACTGCCCTGGACTGTCACCTTTGGTTCCATCCCTTCAGGTTGTGGTTTGTGGAGGGAAATGGGATTTTGTGTATTTTTTCCCTGTGGTTTGTTGCTCACTGACACTTCATAAAATGCATTAAAATCTTGGTTTCCTTAAGAGCCAAAGCCAAGGTTGTGCAACACTTCCATGAATTCCCTGATGCTTCATGGAAAAGAGCCCAGGAAATGTCAGGTCTGCTCTGGTAGCACCACTGCCCACCAGCTTCCAAAATCCAACAGCAGGAAAAGGCAGTCCCTGTGAGGGGCACTGATGCATCCATGGTTTATTCCAGAGGTTTTGTGAACCTTCAAAGGTGAATCTTCCCTCTCTGCCCACGTCACCTGGTCAGGAAGCTGAGGTTATTTCTGGCAGAGCTCAGTTTTCCTGGAGAGCTTTCCTGTCACTTCTAAGTCACCTCAAGTCCTACTGGAAAAATTGTAGGATAATCCAAGTCTGGAGCAGCCTTTAATCTCGCTCAGTTCTGCCTTAAACAAGTGTGACACTTTGAGGGCAGGCAGGATTTTTCTGATGCAGCCACATGTGCTCCCATGTTGGGTTTGCCTTCAGCCACAAGAAATACTCTGTTATCCTGAAGCAGAAGCTGATTCCCCACCCACCCATCCCATTTTCAGCACGTGGGAGTGAAGGATCTTTGGGGCTTTGACTGGGCAGACTAAAGGATTTCTGTACCAAGCTGTTGATGTTTCCTTAAAACCTGGATTCCACCCTCAATCACATCTGGCCAACCCCAAAGCCCAGCCAGGGCTGGAATCACAGAGTCATTCAGGCTGGAAAAGACCTTTAGGATCATCAAGCCCAGCCAACTGTTGGGAATCTCCAGGCTAATGATAAATAAGGTCAGGTGGTTTCAAAGAGCAGAATTTCCATGTTGCTGGGTTGAAGCTGTTGCTATGATGCTGCAAGTATTGCAGGGGGTTGTGGTTTTGGGAAACCATGGAGACAGTCTTTATTCCCTGCTTTCTGTGCAGGTGGTGATGCTGCATTCATCGAGTTCTGTCTTTCTGCTGATCTCTGATGTTGTCTGGGAACCTCAGAAACAAAACCCCACCCCTGGAAGGCAGGACTGACACTGGGGAGCCCACTCTGTCCCCTGGGGCTTGCCTGGGTGGGCTCCACATCTGGATCCACCCCTGGTCCCTGTCCCCAGGAATGCCCGGGACAGCAGCTCTGCTGGCCCACCCAGGCCCTCAGGCAGGAGCAACCCCAGCCCTTGTGGTGTTCCTGTCATTCCCAGTGTTCCCTGTCATTCCCAGTGTTCCCTGTCATTCCCAGTGTTCCCTGTCATTCCCAGGGCTCTGGTTTCCTGGGTTTCCAGGGTTTCCTGTGCTCTGTTTCTCGCAGCAGGAATTCCAGGGGGGGGTTCCCCCCGTTCCTCCAGGGCAGCAGCCAAGCAGAGCAGGATCATCCCTGGAGCAGGGATGCCAGCAGGGCACTGTGGGGCTCCTCCTCAGCCTCTGTCTGGCAGCTCTGGGGGTCTGACTTTGTTTGCCAGTTTGGGTTTGAAGTGCTCCCTCAGAGCTGGGCTGTTTTAGGGAGAGACTGGGGAGAAAGGAGATGGAAAGCAGGATGGCTCTGAGCGCGTGAGAACTCCCCCAGGATGTTTGATTGTACTTCAGCAGCTTGAAAACGGGCTGATGTGGGACAAACCCTCCTTCCCTGGGCAGGCTGTGGCTCCAGTTTGTGGCAGAGCTGCTCCTGTCAGCAGGGGCTGTTCCCATCCCTCTTTCATTGCCCCTTTGAGGTTCCCAGGCCTGGCTGCCAAACTCACCTGCTACAGGTCTGGCTGCATTTTGTGTGGCCTGGCTGGGGTGGGCCCAGAGGCAAACCACAGCTGTGCTTTGACATCCCCACTGCTCTGGAGAGACACCCTAATTAGCACTGATGGGGATGTCTCAGTCCCCACTCCCTCCTGGGCTGGAGCAGCAGCTCAGCCTGCCCAACTCCTGCAGCCCCAGCACTGATCACCCCCTGCTGCTCCCTTGAGGGCTCCAGGGGAGCAGGGACAGGCTGGTGACAATGACACTGGCTGTGCCAGCCCCTCACCTGTCCCTCCTTCGCAGGGGTGCTGGAGGTGACTCTTTCTGTGTTCCTGCAGGTCTGGGAGGAGGCACAGCTGATTTACAGCTGATTTACAGCTGCTTCTGTTCCTTCGAGTTCTGGAGCCGAGCTGGGGCTTTCTGCAGGACAGAAAAATTACTTAAAAAAAAAAAAAAAGGAAAGAACGAACAAAACCCACTTTTAGAGATATTTCTGAGGGCAAAGCAGCACGGGTTGAGTCATGCCTGGGCAACCTCTCTTGTTTCCCCGTGGTCCCGCTGGGAGGTAGGTGGTGAAATCCTTACCCGGAGGTGTCTGTCCCTCCCTGCTGTCCCCAGTCCTTACCCCGGGGTGTCTGTCCCTCACTGTTCTGTCCCCAATCCTTACCCGGAGGTGTCTGTCCCTCCCTGCTGTCCCCAATCCTTACCCGGAGGTGTCTGTCCCTCCCTGCTGTCCCCAGTCCTTACCCCGGGGTGTCTGTCCCTCCCTGCTGTCCCCGTTCCCTGTGCTGACACCCAGCACCTCAACCAGTGTTTTCAAGCCCAAGCCCTTCCCGGCAGGCTGAGGGGGCTGGAATTTTCCAGGCGTTTTCCGGGCACTAGGGTGGCTGCGTTTGAGGCTGGGCGCGGGTTGCCGTGGGCGGGTGTCGCTGCCGCTGGATGTCACTGTCGCCGTGTGGCACTGGGAGCAGGGCGGGGGCGGTGACGGCTCCCTGAGCTCTGCAGTGCTGGGAACACCGCACAGCTGGATGGGGAGCGGATTGCTGGGCAGCCCTTGGGTAATCCCAGGGGAAAATAACGTTCCTTTTGCCAGTTGTCTGGGTTTATTTATTTTTTTTTTTAAACAAACCCTTGCAGAGTCTCCGAGGGCCCAGAGCATGATTTCTTCCCCAGACTGAGCCCTGGAGCTGATTCTGCAGCCTTGAGGAGCCAGCAGATTGCAGAGGGACAGGATGCCCCGTTCCAGCTCTAAGCTGACAAGTGGGTAGTTGGGACCAGTGTTTCAATTCAAATATATGGAGCTCTTTAATTATTCTTTTTATTAATTAAACTATATGAATACTGATTTTAATTTTTAAAAAACCCTAAAAGCCCACGTATGGAGTGAAGGGCAGGTGGATCCCCAATTTTAGATGACTGGGGAGCAAGGCTAGGGATGGCTGCCCTGTAGCCTCTGTCCTTAACAACCCCCCAAATCACCCCCTTACGGTGCTGACAGCCCCAATCACCTACCAATTAAATATGGATCCTGTGCTTTCGTGCTGGCTCGGGCCAACATCGAGGCCTTTCCCGGGATCTGTCCCACAGCCTATTGTTTGTGCCGCCTGCTCTTCCCTTCCCACAAAGGCCAAAGATGCTTCTCTCTCTCCCCCTTGTCTTGCATGACAAAGGCCGTTTGTCACCGTTACACAAGGGTGCATTTGTCACTCCTCCTGTGGCCTCTCTGGGGGCAGCTCTGTCCCCAGCTCATCCCGGTGCCTCCCTGAGCAATTCCTCTCACCCACTGCTTGGGCTTGGCCTTTATTTCCATCCTTGGGAAAGGCAGATGCAGAGTTGTGGTGGTTTGGTCCCGGTGTTCAAGGAGAGCAAAAGGGTGGGAAGGTGTTTGAGGGGGTTGTTGGCTTTGTAGTCCTTGTTTTGAGGGGGCAATGGGGTTTGTCCTTAGCAGAGGTCGTGTCCTGAGCCTCTGGAAAGGGCCGTGCTGGAAATGGAGCCCCATTCCCAGGTTTAAGGGAGCAGGAGCACCTGTCACCTGTCACCACCTGCCTCCCCGAGCTGGCAGCTGCTTTGTTAATGCCTCTCGTGAATCTCGAGTGTCTCCAGCTCCCAGCAGGAATCTGTGTTTTGGGTTTTCTCTTTTCAGCAGGTTTGATTTCCTCCTCAGTGGAGTATCTTTTTGGAACCTTAGAAGTAACTAAATGGGTTTGTTTCCCCTCAAACTCAGAGCAGAAACTGTGGCTGGTCTCTCTGCCTGCAGGAGAGAGCTGTTAAC